GGAGACTAGCTAAGTGTGTTGTCCTTTGACTCTGACTCTTGACTCATGACTCTTGACTCTTGACTCTGAACTTTGAACTCTGAAGCCCTTTACCCCAAGCCCTAAACCCTACAGCCCCCGAACACTCACTGAATCCTGAACCGTAATCATCCTGTGACTTCAAAGCTAGGCTAGTACTTGTACTAGTACTAAACTAATCTCCTAAAATCCCGGGCCTAAACTCTTACCAAACGGAAACCCTGACGTTCCGAAATTCCGAAAGCCCTAAAAACCTGAAACCTAAACCCAGCCTACAGCCCTAAGCCTAACACAACCAAACAACTCAAACAACAAGTCTCAAACTCCTAGCTACTAAAATGCCCTCACCTCCTCACTCCTCAATCCTCAATTCAATCCTGAAGCCCTAAGTAGCCTGAAATCCTGAAACCCCGAAGCCTAAACTCCTAAACCCAAAAGCCCTAATACTAATAAATAAATAATTATAATTATAATTACTAAATTGATAATTACTAATTACTGCTAAAGCCCCCGCAACGCCTAGACTCCTAAAGCCCGAGACCCGAAACTCCTAAACCCTAAAACTAAACACCTAAAGGCCCTACCCTACATACCCCCTAACCCCTAACACCCTAAACCCCTAAAGGCCCTAAACCCAAAGCCCTACACTGCCCTAAGCTCCCCGTGACAGCCGCACCTACCCAAACCCAAAACTCCTAAAACCCTGAGCGCCTAAACTGTAAAACACTAAACTGCAAATTAAACCAATACCCTAAATGCAAGTTTTAAGTTTTAAGCTTGAAAGTTCAGGGTTTTGGGTTTGGGCTGAGGTGGCTTAGGTGCAGGGCCAGGGCTGGTAAGGTCACAGGTCAGGTCGGCAATGGCAATGGCAATCGGTAAGGTTTAGAGTCTAGAGTCTAGAGTTAGAGTTTAGAGTCTAGAGTCTAGAGTGGGTATTGGGTAGTTAGAAGGCTGTAAGTTTTGGAGTTGTGGGTTTGGTTTGGTTTGGGCGGCTTTAATTAAGAATTAATGAATAATAACTGTAACTATTAGTAGCAAATATTATGTTAATCTACATCTACAATACTAAAATTCAATTAATAATCAATAATAATAACAATACAATAATAATAACAAGTAACAAGGCACTATAATGTAATATTATAATGCTATAATACTTCTTTTCTTTACTAATTTACTTGTTTGACGAAGGGTTCGGCGATCGACGGGGCGAGGGGGGTTTCGACCGAAGTTCGGTCGAAGGGGGGTTCGACCGAACTTCGGTCGAAGGGCCGGGGCCGGGGGGTTCCACTTCGGTCGAAGGGCCGGGGGGTTGAACCAAATTCGGTCGTTGCTAAGCTGAAGCCCAATAAACCCCCTGCATAGCTTTAGCTAAACAAGACCCTTTCACGACGGATGGCTGCCGGGTCCCGAGTCCCGAGCCGTTCTCAGTGCCAGTGCTCGGCTCGTGCTCAGTCCGCTCCGCACTCCGTCCGCACCGCACCTTTCAGAATCACAGCCGCAAATCCCGTATAGACCTGTAGAAGGCTTGAGTCTTGAGTCTTGAGTCTTGAGTCTTGTTGAGGATGTAGAGTTTAGGTTACTTGGAGGCTTGAGCGGCTTGAGGTTTATATTTATGTCTATTAGTCTATTAGTTTAGTTAATAGTTCATAGTTCATAGTTCATAGTAGTTCATAGTAGTAGTCGTAAAGTTATAAGTTGTAAGTTGTAAGTGGGGTAACTTTAAATATAACCCCGATAATAATTCCTATTTTCGGGGCCTCCGATACAGCTTCGTGAAAAGTCTTGGGGCCGGGGCCCCAGATACAGCTTCCTAAAAGGCCACTAAAGGGTCCTTGCGCCTTGAAACGGTCCTGGGTTCAGGGCCTTACTATTTATTTATTTATTATTTATTATTATATTATTATAATTATATATTATATATTATTAATTATTATTAATTATTAATTATTATTTACTAAGCACGAGCCCAGAGCCACGTGCTAAGCACGATCTGAATGACACGTGCTCCAATAATTTCTGTATGATACCATTACAACAACACTAACATGTTTCTAATTTCTAATTCCTAAGCACGAGCTCCGAGTTCCGAGCCACGTGCTAATTACGAGTACTACTTATTACTTATTACTTATACTTATACACTTACTAAGTTTCCTTATTATCCAAGGTACCCCGGGCCCGAAATTTCGGAAACTCCCAATATTATTATGGTACTATTATACTACTACTTACTGCAAAATAATATATGTAGTATTATGAATTATGAATTATGGATTATGGATTCGGTGATTCGGATATGGATTGGATGATTGGATTATGGATGTGATGGGACTGATGGGATTGGATTATGGCTTAAGTGGCTTAAGGTATCTCCCTGGATTAAAAGGTCCCTCGGGCTCTCTGGGTGTGTTTGGGGTTTTCGGAGTTTGCAGGTTTTAGGGGGTTTGGGCTCAGGGGGTTTTAGGGTTCATTTAGGGTTTCGGGGTTTGCGGGTTTACAAAACAAAAACGGTAAGACTCCGGAGACTAAGACTGCACTGCGAACTGCGAACTCAAAATCCTTGCCAAACCTTAAATCCGAACTCGGGACTCGGAACCCTAAAAAATTCAAACCCCAAAAGCTCTCAAGCCGGCTCGTAAGGGCAAGGGCACCTTGTGCAGCTCCACGTCGAGTCGAAGCAGCAGCGCGACGGTGACGGGGCAGAGGGCTTGGGGCTTCAGGGTCGAGTCATTATTGGGGGTTTGAGGGTTGAAAGTTGAAAGCTTGGGGGTAATTTTAACATTTTTGGGGTTGGAGGGCCATGATTTATGTGTGTTGTGACGGTGTGTAGGTCCTAAACCTTAATTTTACGTCACCACTCCCCCTATTCTGGTCCCAAACCTTAATTCTCGAGCTCCGGTCCTGAATTTTCACTCCCAAACCCTACCGAACCTTAAAGCTTTAAAGCACCGGTCCTTAATTTCTGGTCCCAAAACCTCAATTCTCCAGCTCCGGTCCTTAATTTTCGGTCGCGAACCTTATTTTTTCTTAATTTTACGTACCAAATTTGAATTCTCGATCTCCGGTCCCTAATTTCTGTGGCCGTTTTTTTAGGGCAACTTTGACATTCAGGGAAGACACAGTGAGAACAGAACGCGCTCCTGAACGCGCCCTGAGAACAGAACGCTGAACGCGAACGCGCCCCTGAACGCGAGTTCAGGGGTCACTAAGCTGTAGGCTCAAACTTCCCTTCATTAAGGAATATGCCGTAAATTATGGTAAGATCCCTAGTATGATTTAAGGAATATTCCCTAATTCCCTTTTCGACCCCATAAAGATCCCTCAGAGGGTCCTTAAGGTGATCTTCCTTAACTAAATGATACTGGAGTCTCTGGGTTCAAGCAGGGGCCAGCATGGTAGACCATGACTAATGTAGTAACCTTTTCATAAGCGTGCCGTACTAGTTTCGGGGAGACGGGGGTGGTCTGAACAGGGACTGTAAATTAGAGAACTACGCATGTAGGGGCCTTAAGAATCAGAACAGGACTCCTTGAAAAGGAGCATTGAAAGAACCTGACTAAGCAACCTTGGGCCTTTCTTATCGGTTTTCGGTTTAGGGTTCAGGTTTAGGGTTTAGGTTTACTAGGGTTCCTTTAAAGGGTACTATAAGGGTACTATCAGGGTTTGGGGGGGTTTGGTGTAGAAACCTGATTGAGAAACCTTGGGCCTTTATTAGGGTTCCTTCAAACCTTGTGCAACTTTGGAGGGATTCCTGTACGGATTGAGGGTCGGGGGCTTTGAATTCGCCTCGGCCCCGGCCGAAGCGGTCAGAGGTTCCTATTCGGATTCCTCTATTCCCCACCTCTTAATCCCCTCCCCAGTGACCCCACCCCCCAAAAAAGGGTGCCACCCCCCCCCCCACCCCCCCCAAAAAAATGGAAACGTGTCGATGAGCCCCAAGGTCCGCCGGTGAATTTTCGCTTTCTCCAGTGGCTTTTGGTCTTCTGTAGGCAGTCCCACCCAATTTTCTTCGCTGCCCCCCCCTCCCCCGCCCTCCCCCCGTCCCCCTCCACCCTTCCCCGCCCCTCCTCCGCTCGCTGACAGGTGCGAGCTTTCTGGAGTTTTCGACATCTTTATGTGTTGGGCTCGCCGCATGCGCGTACAGCCGGGGCGAGGCGGACGACGCGCAGCGTTTCAAATTAGGATGTGGGTATTTCCCTACATCAGGGTCTTGTTTAGGATCCCTTTATATAATCCTTTTCATAAGCGTGCCGTACCAGTTTGGGGGGCGGAGGGGGCCTGAACAGGGACCCTAAATTAGAGAGCTACCCATGTAGGGGCCTTAAGAATCAATAGGAAACCTTTAAAGAAACCTTTTTAGAACCTTTAAACGGAACCTTTAGGATCTTTAATTCAGGGAACTACTCATGCGAGTGTTTTTTGCTTAGGGACTTCATAGCGACGTCGACTATCATGGCTGAAGCAGATATGCGGTAAGAGAGCTTAGGGTTCAGTGCTGAGGGTTAAAGGTTTCGGGCTGAGGGTTTGGGGCTTAGGGCCCTACCCCAAAACCCACGCCCCACAGAGCGCTTCAATCTCCTATGCCCCTGAAGCCAAAGAAAACGCACGAAGTAGGCCTTCCAAGTTCTGGTTCAGGTATGCCTTGTAGCGGGCTATTTGCGACCATTATAGTGGGTCCCTTGAAGGGGTCCTCGTAGCAAGAAACCTAGTCTTGGGCTAGTTGCTAGGCAGTTTAACTTGAGTCACCATCATAGAGGTCTATAGTAAGTAAGAGTGTTCCTCACTATGGTAACTTAAAACAGGTTCCACTATGAAGGCTCCTGTGGTATTACGGGGTTCTTTACTTACTTCCCCAATCAGCCACAGAAGTAAAAGGCTAAACTTTCCGATTACTACTAAACTATAAGAGCCCAGGTCTTAGAACTTAAGGCATAGGGCTCCTACCTGAAAACCTCCCGGCGTAAGATCAGACGAACGGCGGCTGCGAGAGAGAAGATTGCGATGATCATGATTTCCTGGCACGCCGAGTGAGCACCCAAGATGTTTAGAAATCAGCTAGGGGCACACCCCAACTTAGACACTCAGACACTAAAGTCTAAAACCGCAACCTTGAACCTCCAAGTCGTGAAAATGAAGAATCCATGTTAAAGCCCCTTTTATAGCCGTAATGCAAACAGTGAAAAGAAAGCCCCACCTGCATCAGGCTAGACCTTGCCCAGTGAAGATCGTTGGCCACGAGGCAGGTCGTCAGCCCCATCATCGACAGCGCAAGGAGCAGAAGGGCAGTTTCAGAGTGATTGAAGAACTCCACCTGCTGCTGAGGGTCTAAAGCTATGGCCCTAGTACGATGTAGGCACGAAACTGAAGCCATCTGTCAACCCCCCCCCTTAACCCTAAACCCCTAAAACCTAAACTCTTAACCCTAATCCTAAACCCCAAAAGATCATCCCTAAACCCCGAAGCCCTTACCCCAACCCGAACCCTAAACCGCTAAAGCCCCGGTCAAAGACCATGACCCCCGTCAGTTCACAGACAATGACCCCCGTGTCATTCCTGTCATTTCCTGGGCACGGGTTCCTTAAAGGGATCCACAAGGGAACTAAGGAATCTACCTCAAACTATAGTAGGCTCGCCAATCTGATTTGAGGAAGGCGCCTTGTATGGGTGGTACCGGAGGTTCAGCACCAAGGAAGCTGTGAGGATAATGCTCACGGCCTCCATCTGGAGAGCCTTACTTCGGTTGAGGGTTGGGGGTTTAGGGCTTTAGGGCGTTGGGGGCTTTAGGGCTTAAGGGCTTTAGGGCTTAAGGGCTTTAGGGCTTTAGGGCTTAGGGCTTGGGGTTTAGGGTTTAGGGTGTAGGGTTTAGGGTTTAGGGCTTAGGGTTTAGGGTATAGGGTAGTAAGTGGATATTTTGTGGAGTTCTAGGTACCCCAAAAGGGACCAGAATTAGGATAATGCTCACTGACTCTACCTGGAGAGTTTTTGAGTTCAGGGTTTAGGTTTAGGGTTGAGGGTTCCTTTAAAGGGGTCTATAAGGGTTACTATGGGGGATCCATAATTTAGGGTTTAGGGTTTAGGGCTTCTAGAGTTTAGGGTTTAGGGTTGAGGGTTTTTGGCTTAAGGGTGCGGGGTTTAGGGTTCGGCATTGCCGGCAGTGAAAGTCTAGGGTGTAGGGTTTATATAGACTTTAGAAGTTTTCAGGGTTTTTGGCAGTCAAGGTATGGGATGGATTCGCAGCCCCTGGACAGCCTAAACACCCGCTGCTATGACCCGACCCGGAGTACTCAAAACCTTGTACCCAGACCCCCGGGAGGATCTAGAAAGTAGATCGGCCTGGGTATGGATCGCACCCCCCCCCCAAAAAAAAACCCTAAACCCTAAACCCTAAACCCTAAACCCTAAACCCTAAACCCTAAACCCTAAACCCTAAACCCTAAACCCTAAATCACTACCGAAGCCCTGCAGCTTGAAGCTTGAAACGCTGCATTTACATCCCCAGACTCCTAAGTGAAAGCCCCAAGCCTGGAATACGAAATGCCCAAGACCCAGAGACTCCAATATTAGAAGCCCATTACAGGTGGGTAGTTCCTCTTCCATAGTACTCCCATAAGACCCCTTTGCCTTATAGGAGTGGTATGGAAGGCTTATGGGAGACTACCCACCTTAAAACTACCCACCTGTAAATGGCTTAGAAATATCCCTTAATTAAGGAATATTCCTTAAATTATAGTAGGATCCCCGATATGATTTAAGGAACATTCCTTAGTTAAGGGGTATTGGAGTCTCTGGGAGACTTCAACATTGAAACCCTGAAACCTTAAACCTTGGGGGGGTTTAAAGCTTGGGGTTTGTGTGTAAAGGGGTTTAGGCTTTCCGGTCGGGGTGTTGGCTTTGGGGTTGTACATTGAACCCAAGATGCTGAGAACTGATCCGGAGACAGTGCTCGGGGGCTTGGCCGGGTAATTGGAAAATACTAAACCCTAAACCCTAAACCCCTAACCCCTAAACTCCTAAACCCTAAACCCCTGAACCCTAAACTGTTTCAGAGCTTAGCAAACGGGGCAGGCCCTTCAAAGCGTTTAGCAAAAGAGATCCTCTTCGGCCCAACAAAGCAAACTAACAAAAATGTCAGCAAACAAGCCTTCCAAAGGGGCCTTAATAAGTTGAATAGAGTTTTGGGGCCCGTCATACTAAAATTATAGTCAGGAACCCCCAAGACAGTATTGGATTTCATTTAGGCCCCTGTATTACCAAGTCTAGGTAGTATTATTAGGGAGACCCCTTAAAGGGTACCCCTTCTGAACCCTACTTCTGGCTCTTTTAAAAGGGGCCTTATTGAGAGGGTCTATATCCCCAAGGGTCCCCCTAATCCTAACTCCCAAAGTCAAGCATGCAAGTGACCGATCCGGACCGGGCCAAAGGCCGTTTTGTTAAGGCGTAGGCTGAAGAGAACACATCCACCACCCTTCAGGAAGGAATATACTGCAGACCACCTCATCGATCCCCAAACGCCTTAAACCCTACACCTTTAAACCCTAAACCCTAAACCCTCAACCCTAAACCCTAAACCCTAAACGCCTTAAACCCTACACCTTTAAACCCTAAACCCTAAACCCTCAACCCTAAACCCTGAACCCTAAACCCTAAACGCCTTAAACCCTACACCTTTCATAACCCGCCCCAAGGATGTCGTGAAGAGCCCAAGGGGCCGGTGAGAGCGAAACCTCGGAAGGAGACCGGCTTCGTCGTTGCCAAATGGGTGGCTGTCAAAATTTTATAGGACCACCCTAAACCTTATAGATCCCTTTAAGGAGCCCTTTAAGAATGTCAAAATTAGGGTCATGGTAGGGTTTAGGGTTCAGGGTTTAGGATTTAAGGTTTAGGGTTTAGGGTTCAGGGTTGAGGGCTGAGGGTTTAGGGTTTAGGGCTTGTCAAAATTTTGTAGGATCCTTAAGGAGGGTGGTTCAAGGGGGGAGGGTATAAGGAATCCTTAACGGACTGTAAGGGAACCTTAGGGAGTACTAGGGAGGATTAGGGATCACTAGGCTATATACCCCCCTTGAACCCCCCTCCCTTAAGGATACTACAAAAATTAGGGTCCCTTTTTGGGTCCCTATTATAATACGGCACCTAATATTTAGGGTACCCCAAAAGGGGACCATAATTTTGATAACTACCCAAATTCCTACTGTTCCTTTAAGGGGGTCTATAGAAGAGTTACTGCAAGGGAGCCATCAGGGTACTATGATATTAGGGCCTTCATAATCCTACTGATATGGTATTCTGGGGAAATAAAGGTGTTAAGCTTTTTGGTTACATAGGGCTTATCTCGGGGCTGGGAATTAAAGTTCAGGCTTCAGGGTTTCGGGCTGAGGCTGTGGCTAGCTTAGGGTTTAGATGGGTTTAATCGGTACCTTAACCCCAAGTAACCTAGCTTTTTAAGGACATAGCTAAAGCAACCATACTAGGGAACCCTAAAAAGGTAGGTTCCTTAGGGTCCAGGTAAGGGTTAGGACTTGGGGGTTTACGGACCTCGGGATGCTAGTGCTGGGGATCACAACCCAGACCCCCGTTTGGAGGATCCAAAAAGTACATCCCTTCATGGGGGTTCCTTTTAAGATAAGTATAGGGGCCTTAATAACTAGAATAGGAGTCCCTTTCAAGGGGGTTCCTATACAGTACCCTTAGTAGTATAGGGCCCCAAATTAGGGCATCTACTTTCTAGATCCTCCAAAGGGGGTCTGGGCATGGAGATGGAGATGACGGTGATGAAGATGGAGCCGGCGTTTCCCTGAGAGCTACAAAGAAACGGTTTAGGGTTTAGGGTTTAGGGTTTAAGCTTTCGGGTTTAGGATTTAGGGTTTAGGGTTTAGGGTTTAAGCTTTCAACATGGTGACACTGAATCTGAATCATAACGAGGAGCCCTAAACCCTAAACCCCAAACCCTAGGCCCTAAACCATCTAAGGTGTGATTCTGCTGAGGGGTTCTGGACTCTCCCTAAACCCTGTACTCTTATGCGTTTAGGGTTCCGCGCACCCAGAGCAAGGTCCTAAACCCCAAACCTGAATGCCCTACTGACTGAGGAGATAACCCTAATCCCCAGACCCGAATTTTTTCGGGTTTAGGGTTTAGGGCCCCTGCTGCTACCCTGAACCGGCCTGATCCCACATACCCTGAACCCATATCTCGAGACACCCTAAGAGGATCCTTGCTGCAAGGACCCCGAAATCAAGGCAAAAAGAAACCAACAAAAGGGTGTTTCCGAAATTAGGGGGTGCCTTGTTTTGGAGTCCTTATAAATAAGGACCCTACTATTTAGGGTACTATTTTAGGGTCCCCTATTTTCGGAAAATCCCATATCTCAAGAGGAATCCCTTACCAACTGCCTACAAACGCAAACCAAACCCCAACTCAATTGCAAAGCCTGAACCCTGGAATAACTCGACCCCTAAACTAAACCACAAAGTCCCCTAAACCCCTAAACCCCTAAACCCTAAACCCCAAAGCCCCCAAACCCCAAAAGCCTTCATGAGACCCTCACAAGAACCCGTGAGTTGTAAATGACCCCCTGCCGCCTGCAGAACCCTACCCAGAGAGCCCAATACCCCTTAATTAAGGAATATGGCTTAAATTATATAGGGCTTAATATTATGATTTAAGGAATATTCCTTAATTAAGGGGTATTGGGCTCTCTGGGTACCTGTAAATACATTTCTAAATTTCAGTGACCCCAAAGCCGCGCAAGGAAGGTTCCAGGAACAGACTTTAAATCATGGACGATGCCCTTACAGCACAAGGCCACGTCACAAATTGACAACCCAAATGAGAATCCCTTATATAACCCTGAAACCCTAAACCCAAACCCCTGAAACCTAAACCCCAAGCCCCTAAACCCCCTAAACCCCCAAAAACGCTAAAAACCCAACCCCCTAAACCCTCAAAAAAAAAAAACTTAAATCACCCTGAAAGGAACCCTAAACCCTAAACCCCCTAAACCCCTAAAAAAACCCTCAAATCACCCTTAAAGGAACTCTCAAGTCACCCTTCAAGGAACCCAAAAAGGAACCCTTAAAGGAACCCTCAAGTCACGCTTAAAGGAACCCTAAACCCTAAACCCTAAACCCTAAACCCTAAACCCTTTCTGAAAGCGAGGCTCCGGAAGGACGGCCACCACCAGGGTCAGAAGCATCTTCCGGACCAGGCGCTCCACCTGGCCGTAGGGTTCTTAAAGGGCTCCTTACAGGGATCTCTAGGTTCCTTAAAGGGATCTATGGGGTTAATACTGTTGATGATACAAATCCTGCATCACCCATAATAAGGAGTATACCATAATTCCCATAGTTTAAGATCCTTAAGGTCATGCAGGATTTATATCATCAACCGTAATTACAGGGTTTTAGGGTTTTAAGATTCTTAGGGCCGTGAAGTCTAACCTCAAATCAATCCTAACAATTCTAAGCCCTGAACCCTAAAGCACTAAACCCAAACCTTTAAGAGGAACCCCTAAACCCTAAACCCAAACCTTTAAGATTAAACCTTAAACCCTAACCTTCAAGATGAACCCCCTATAACCCCTCCTATAATTATAACTAGGCAGGCCTTTGGGATGGAGGGGCAGCGGACTTAGTAAGTAGAGTTATAAGTACCCTAAATGGAGTTACCACCCTAAACCCCATAGATCCCTTTAAGGAGCCCTATAGATCCCTTCAAGGAGCCCTTTAAGAACCCTTACTAAGTCCCCTGCCCCTCCAAGTAAACCCTAAAAGCCCCCTACTTAAAGGATCATGGGACTTAGTAAATAGGTTGTAATAAGGGTTATAAGTCCCCTAAGTGGGGTTATCCTAATTATAACCTACTTATTATAACCTTACTTACTAAGTCCCATGAGCCTTTAAGTAAGCCCTCTGATCTGCTTCGACACAAATGGGAGTTTCCGAAATCAGGGATAGGGTTCCTTTAAAGGGATCTGTAGGGGTTCCTATAAAGGGATCTATAGGGGGTTCCTCTAAAGGGATCTAGAAGGGTTCCTTTAAAGGGTTTAGGGTTTAGAGTTTCCGAAAACTCTGGGATACCTTATTTTGGGGTCCTTACAACAAGGATCCTACTATTTAGGTAAAATTTGAGGTGCTATATTTGCATCCCCTATTTTCGGAAACTCCTAAATGCAGATCTGAGTGGGGACTCGTATTGGGCAACTTTATGAGGATCCTAGCTAATTAAACTGATATGGTTGAAGGATTATTCCTATTGGCGTCTGCTAAACCCTAAACCCGATAGATCCCATATAGGAACCCTTAAATATAGATCCCTTCAAAGGAATCCTACCCTAAACCCCTAAAAGGGATCCTAGGAGTCTCTGGGTACAGGACACCATAACACGCGCCCTCGCAGCCGATCCCTGCAGCTGCCAAAGGAACCCGTCGTACTTGGAGGGTCGGGGGATTTAGTAAGTCGGTTTTAGGGTCTAGGGTTTAGGGTTTTAGGGTTTTAGGGCTTTAGGGTTTAGGAAGTAGGTACGAAATAGAGTTATACGTACCCTTAAAGGGGGTCTTAGTTAGGGTTATGATACTTCTAAGTCTAGAAAATAACTACTCACTCAGTCCACCGACCTTCCAAGTAGGATGCTACTTAGAGTTTTTTGGGGGCTTAGTAACTTACAAGGCTCCGTAAGGGGTTCCTTAAAGAGTTCTATAAGAGATCGACAAGGCTTTAGGGTTTAAGGATCATGAGACTTAGCAACGGAGGCTATAAGTAAGGTAACTTTAGTTGTAAATACTTCAAACCCCAATTAGGGTAATTATAACCTACTTACTGAGCCCCATGTGATCCTCCAACTACACGGCCAAAACCCCCAACCCTAAATCCCTATAGATCCGTTTGAAGGAACCTGACTAAGTCCCATCCCTAAACCCTAAGCCCTCAACCCTACACACTGATCCTCCCAAAACTCCCAGACCTCGAAGACAGAGCACTCCGTCTTGTAGGCTTGCATGAGGTAAGCCACATGACTCTGTCGAGGCTCCCTGCGACTAAGCACCTCATCTTAAGTTGCTTGGTGTCAGGAAGTTCATGGGTAGCTATAAGTAGGGTCCCAAGTAGGGTAACCATACTTATAACCCATATTAGGGGACTTATAACCGCACTTATAACTACCCCAGTCATCTTCGAGGTTCTTGTTAAAGGGTTCAGTTATTTATGTTACCACAATAGGGATCTATAGTAAGTAATATGGTTTCCTTATTATGGTAACTTCAATTAAATCCCTTAACAAGAACCCAGTCTGATGTTGCTTGGTGTTCAGGAAGCTAACTTAAGTTACCACAATACAGGGACCGTATCAGACGTCTACTGTAGGTTCCCGTTGAACTACGCTTCGGAACAAGAACCCAGTTTGGTGCAGGGGCCAGAATAACAAGAATACTAATGTAGGGCTTAAGGGGTATATTCCGACGTCTATATTCGGACTGCCGTACAAGGGTTGTATAGTCGGATGTAAAAGGGCTCTCACAGGAGTTGAAGGTTGGCGTTGAAGGTTTGGGTTTTCGGGTCCAGGGCGTAAGGCTTAGGGTAAGGTCTGCATGGCGATCTATATGCCTTCATCAAGCAACTTTGATGTCTTGCACTCTAGGCCTAAACCCTAATCCCTAAACCCCTAAACCCCTTAACCCCTTAACCCCTTAACCCCTAAACCCTTAACCCTAAACCCTGTATAACCCTGGTCCTTGATCTGATTCAAGGCTATTGGGTTCTCTGGGAACTGGCGCAATCTTGGAGACCACTTGGGGTACGTGGGAAAGGCTTAGAGTTTAGGGTTTAGAGTTTGTACAACTCAGCCGCAAACAAACGTTTCCTTGTCTTAGAGGGGTTCGGGCTCTCTTCTGAAAGCCGTTATTGGGGTTTAGGGCTTAGGGTTTAGTTTGAACAGTCAATCGTAACGCTCCCTTGCAGTCTGTCATCAGGATACCACAGTATGCGTCACACAACCCCGTTGGCCCGTCGTATACTCGACCGGCAAAGTGCTGAACTCAGAAAGCCTAGCTCAAACCTTGCAAGGGTTTCGGGTGTGGGGTTAGGGTTAGGGTTTGTTCAGCGTTTTCTCGGCGTTATCGGGCTTTCGATGGACCAAGCAAAAGTGACAAACTTTCTGTTTCCTAAACCCTGAACCCTAAAGCCCTAAAACACTAGCCCCACAACACGAAGGACCTGGATCCTAGACCCTAAAAGTTAAGGGGAGCCCAGATAAGAAACCTGATACAACCCCTACACAGACCCGGGACCCCTAAACACTTAACCCATCAACTTCTAAACCCCTACACCCCTAAACCTCTCAACCCAAAACCCACAAATTCTAAACCCCCTAAACCCCTACACCCTTTAAAGGGATCCTTCAAGGGTTTAGGGTTTCGGGCGTGCTTTAAAGGGACAAAAACTAACCCATGAGCCGCTCAAGAGATTGCCCAGTGGCCACGTACGTCCAGCTACCCACACCCAGCGCGAAGCAAGCTGCGATGCTTGCCAGGACCTGCTTTAGGGAGCTCTGGGGTTCAGGGTTTAGGGTTAGGGTTTAGGGGTTTAGGCTTTAGGAGTTTAGGTGTTTAGGGTCTAAGGGTTTAGGGGTTTAGGGTTTAGGGGTTTAGGGTTTAGGAGTTTAGGGGTTTAGGGTTTAGGGGTTTAGGGCTTTAGGGGTTTAGGGGTTTAGGGTTTAGGGTTTAGGGGTTTAGGGGCTTGGGGGTTTAGGGGTTTAGGGGTTTGGGGTTTAGGGTTTAGGGTATTAGTGTAGGGCTTAGAGGGGTGTATAAGGAATCTCTAGTAGGGTTTTATAGTATCACTCTCTACTTGGAAGTTCATGCGTGGTTAGAAGGGGAGTTATAGTGCGTTAATATGGGTTATCACAATACTTACCCTACTTGAAAGCCCACTTATAACTACCCATGAGACTCCAAGTAGTGTAGGGCTCTTACTGGAAAGATTATGGGACTTAGCAATTGTGGTTGTAAGTAAGGTAACTACAGTTGCAATTACTTCTAACCCCGATTAAGGTACCTAGAACCTTACTTACTAAGTCACATGAGCCTCCAAGTAAGAACCAGCCATGTGAGGGCTTGGCACAGTAGGTTTTAGAGTTTAGGGCCTTGGGGGTTAGGGTTTAGGATTTAGGGTAGGGTTTTCTGATTTGGGTTTTAGAATTGTGCGGCTTAGGCATTAGGGCTGTGGGATTCAGGGTGTAATGATGCGGTGTAAAGGATTTATTGCGATGAGGGTTGAGGTAAAGGCTTAGGGTACCTCCATGGAAAGGTGTTTCCTTCAGCTAGCAACGCCCCCCCCCCTCCAAAAAAAAAAAAAAAACTGTGGCAGGGTCAGGGTGTAAGATGTGGGTAGTTTTTTAGGTCCCCAAACTACTACCACTATTACTACTACTACTACTACTACTACTACTACTACTACTACTACTACTACTACTACTACTACTACTGCTACTACTACTACTGCTGCACCTTTATGAAGAGGACCCTGAAAGCTCACAAATTTAGAGACCTGGATCCTCTCGGAAGACGGATCCTACCATGTCTGGAGGCCTCAAACAGGACCCCCAAAAAAGCACATAAGCAAAAATTCGGATAGGGATATCCCATATAAACCCCCTTGTCATGAAGCCCATGAAGGTAGGGATATCCCTGTAAATGCTTATGCTTATGTGCTTTTTGGCGCCTGATCAAAACTAAGAGTACACGAACTCAGATTGTGGGATCACCCACCCGCCTTCATCCCACCTTGGGAGCCCTGTGACAGTAAGGGTTTGGATCCGATTATAAAAGGATATAACCCAGAGGGTCCAAGTACCCAAATAGTAGGGTATTAGGCCCCAAAATCCATACTCTGAATGGTTTTTGGACCTTGAAACCCTACTATTTGGGTACTTGGACCCTTAGGGTAAGGGTTTTGGGTTTAGGGGTCTGGGGTTTACGGGTCTAGGGTTGAAGGGTCTAGGGTTTAGGGTCTAGGGGTTTAAGGCCTTGTGGCTTAGGGGTTTAAGGGTTTAGGGGTTGGGGTTTTAGGGTTCAGGGTTTAGGGTTCAGGGTTTAGGGTGTATTCTCTGAAACTGCAAATCCAAAGTGCCCTGGGTGGATTACTAGGATGGCGCTTTAAAGGCTCCTGTTAAGACTGATAAATGACATCCTCTTAAGCCCAATCAGGGCAAATAGAATATGTCCCCAAGGCCTACCTACAATAACCTACAAGAACCTACCTTTTTGTAGGGTCCCTGTAAATTTCATGTGAACCAACGAAACAGGAAGGTTTTGGTAGGTTAACGGGCCTCAATGATTAGAATAGGCTGTTGGGTATATCACAGTATAATTATAGTAAGGAATCCACAAAACTCGACTCTAGTTTTCAACTACCCTACAGTAGTTTAGATGTCAGACTCGCATTCATATACTGGACGTGCGATCTGTCGCAGCAGCGGGAAGGCAGCCTGGGAATGCAAAGTGCTCAAGCAGACTAAACCCGACGATTCAGGGTTTAGGGCTTATATGGCTTAGGGTTTAGGGCTTAGGTCAGACAGGAGGTTCCGGATCAAAAACCTGAGTACGAGCCCCCACCCCTAAGCGCTGAAACTCCGAGCCCCAAACCCACGCTGACTCCCAAGCCCCTAATCCACAAGACCGCAACATTTCGTCGGGTCAACTGCCTCTGACTATCATCAGACCAAATTCCACAACACATCATACCGACACCCAAGCGCATGCATCTAGCGTAACGAGTGATGCTATTGCTTAAAGCTCTGGACTTTCCGAATCTTGGTATACTACACCATGTACAACTCCACAAAAACCCGCTCTAAGCACCCTTTACAAAATCTAACAACGTCTGGAGTATCGCACAAAACCCTGATAATGAATCCGCACCTGAAGGGTTTAGGGTTTAGGGGTTTACCCAGAGAGCCCAATACCCCTTAATTAAGGAATATGGCTTAAATCATATTATGCGGCCCCTTATAATTTAAGGAATATTGCTTAATTAAGGCGTATTGGGCTCTCTGGGTAGCATTTAGGGTGAAGCCATCCCACCTCTGCTATTCTCCGGCTCCGTGGCCCGGCTGGCAGGAAGTCCCAGCACAGCTCCTTGTGTTGTAGGGGCCTAAAAAGTTACCTCCTTTAAGGGTTCCTTTAAAGAGGGTCTATCTAAGGGTTACTATAAGGGCTATTATATGGGCTGAATAGAGGGGCCTTCATAATTACCTATACCATTTTGGGGGATCCCTTATTACAATTGCAGTATACAGGCCAAAAAAAAAACCCTATTCTAATTATTAAGGCCCCTGTGGTATGCGGGGCTTCGGGTTCGGAGTCCCTACATTTGGAACCCTCGTAGGTGCCGCATTCGATTCTAGGAAGCTTGATGTAGGAACCCGATTAAGAAACCGTGGGCCCTTATGTAGGGCCTTTATTAGTGTTCTAGAAAGGTTCCTTTAAAGGGGACTATAAAGGGTGCTAAAGGGTTTTGGTGGGGGTTTGATGTAGGGACCCGATTAAGAAACCTTGGGCCTCTACTAGGGCTCCTTATATGAATCCTGCTATTTTGGGGTTATAGGCCCAGGGTTTCTTAATCAGGCTCCTACATTAATTATAAGAATCCTTAAAACAAAAGTGCCCTTCAGCTTGGACTTTAAATTCCAAAACCTTAATGCTAGATAACACAATCCATCCTTACAAGGCAACTCGGCTGGAAAGTTGCGGCGCGAGATCTGCTTGGGATTCAGCCTTAAAACCTAAACATCCCAGAACCCTACACGCTTCACCCTAGACCCCTAAACCCCGAAAACCCTAAACCTCAACCGTTCCTGAACCCCAGCTCTTCAGCCTGCATCGGGAGAGGAAACTCCAGACCCAGCCTTCTACCAGCAAAGTCGAAGAACTTGGGGGGTACAGGGTTTCAGGGTATCGGACACCTTATAGAAACTTCATGGTAAAAATATCAGTAACCCGTGCTACGGTTTATGTTTTAAGGTGTAGTTTAGGGTTTGGGGTTTGGGGTTTTGGGTTTCGGGTAAACCGACAGCTATCCAGATGCCAAGACAAACGGCGGGGGTCAGCCAGAAGTAGAGGGCTTAACAATTGGAAGAGGGGTTTGGGCTATGCATCAGGGAGTGTAAGGAGACAACATTAGTAACTTCTCAAAACCCAATATTACCACCAAGCCCGAGAATTACCTTGGTGCAATTGCAATCCAACGGGCTCACGCTCCGTCCATCTGCAACCGTACATCGCGACACCCAACCGTGGAAGCAACTTCTACTTTGAACCGTAGGCCCTACACCTTCGACAGCTTTTCCGCCAAGAACCCTAAACCCTTAACCCGAAACCCTGAACCCTAAATCCTAAACACCAAAACCCTAAACCCCAAAACCCTAGACCCTAAACCCTAACACCACGGCAGCCGAGGTCGGAGAATCGAAAACATGTATAAGTCCGAAGGTCATGTTCGCTCATGAACTACATGAACTACCCAGTTCGCGGCACAATATTTCCGCCGTTATAGATCGTGACCACATTGACGAATTGCAGGGCGCTGGTCTGCAATGTCGGTATGTATGTGCGTATATACATACATGTGCGACTGCGTCTTCACCAACCACATTAACAGCTGCAACACAAGCCTTTGACAACCTCCAAATTATGTATGCAACGACACAGACTGAAATCTTCGGCAACAGAAGCTACCTTGCCCGTCGTCGCAAATGTAACCAGCAAGCGACGCTGTGCGAATGATCAAAACACGCTATATTGGCGAGTGCACTTCTGACTCGGCGGCACTACCGACACGACTGGCAAATTATCGCACAACCAGGACTGTGCATTACATCCATGAGTCCCCAACACAATAGGGCGTAACGAGTGCCTTAACCCCACTGCAGCAACCGACACATGATGCTCGAGCAAACTTTGTTGCCTGATTTGGTATAGCGCTTTGTGCGCTGTCGCTCAGAGACATATCGTTTCTTGCGCAGGAGATTCAGTGCCTTCGATTGCGTCTTCGGCAGTGTCTGCAACCATTGCACCATGGAAAAAAACCCTGTGGGCACTTCAATTTCGAAGCGCGAAACTGTGTATCATTTACACCTAACCCTGATAAATCCCGAACCGCAAATCCTAAACCCAAACCCGAAAACCCCTGTAAAACCCATCATTTCACTGCTATCCTTGGTCTTTCGGTCTAAGCACAACGGGTCCTCGAGCCGGGCTAGAACCCCAAAACCCCTATCAGGCAGTAGAGGGTGTTGGCGCATTTCGTAAGGCTCGTACGGAATGTACTATAGGGGCCTTGATAATTACAAACCTTACACCCGATTACCCTAACCCCTAAACCTCTAAGCACACATCCCAGAGATGAGTCATCGATCGGGCGAAGTCTCAACTGTGAAAGTTTCACGAAGCTCGCTTCACTCCCTTCTCAGAAGGCGTGCCAGCGCCTAAAAATGCCCAATTCGCAAGTAGACCTCATGAAACCCTACACACAGCCTCTACCAACTCTAGACAGCCTTTAAAAAAAACTCCAGTATCCATATGCTGAAAGCCTAACCCTAAACCCTAAACCCTAAACCCCTAAACCCTAAACCCTAAACCCTAAACCCTAAAACCCTAAACCCTCAAGGAACCTGAGACCTCGAACAAACGCAAACAAGCCGGTTTAGGGCTCAGCGGGGTTTAGAGAAAAGGGTTTATGCTGGGGTTTAGGCTTTAGGGCTTCAGGCTTACGGTTCAGGGCTCAAGGTTACTTAAAGGATCATGGGACTTAGTAACTGGGGTCCTTAAGGGGTCCCTTTAAGGGATCTATAGGGGTCCTATAAGGGTTTAGGGTTTAGGGTCTACTTACAGGATCATGGGACTTAGTAGCAGGGGCTATAAGTGAGGTAACTATAGTTATAAATACTTATAACCGCAATTAAGGTACTTATAACCCTACTTACTAAGTCCCATGATCCTCCAAGTAAGGGTTGTCTTGCAATGGCCTTTTCCGGTCGCACAGGGGTTTGGGGCTTAGGGTTTCGAATTGTTTATAGGGCATCGGGCGAAAACCGGAAATAACTAGGAATACCAATCATTCTGGTTCCATATCTCGTTCCATACAAGATGTAATATCATATACCACGAAGCCCTATTCAAACCATTCAGGCCCTTATACCATAAACCCTTCAAAACACCCATTAAAAACCCCTCAGCCCCTTGTAAAACTTTTATAGAAGCCCTATTCAGCCTCAACGGGAAGCCGCGCCTAAACGATCAAGGCCACTATGCGATACGGTTGATGATATAAATCCTGCATTACCCATAATAAGGAATATCCCATAATTCCCACAGCTTAGGGTCTTTAAGGTAATGCAGGATTTATATCATCAACCGTAGTATCAACCCTACTTAACACCTCATGACACCATCATAGACACCCTGACAGGGACCCAGTTCTGATTCGTAAAGCCCCCGTCGGGATCTTACTCTATCATAGGGATCCTTAGGGGTGTAGGGGGAGGGGGGGTAGGGGGCCTTAAGGCCCATAATAAGGACTAATAAGGCCTATTTAAGGAAATATAGTCCCCTACACCCCTCCCCCCTACACCCCTAAGGATCCCTATGACTCTAGGTTCGCCAGTGTCCCCGTAATCATAAAACGATCCCTTTTCCTGCTATTCAATTTCAATTTTAGTAAGGGGTCCATAAAAAGAAAGGGCCTAGGGTACCACTGGGTACTTAGTGGATCATGGGACTTAGTAACTGGGGTTATAAGTAAGGTAACTATAGCTATAATTACTTATGACCCAAGTTAAGGTACTTATGAGTCTACTTACTAAGTCCCATGATCCTTCAAGTACCTAGTACTTGCCGCGAAGGGACGCCCCCGTCGCTCTCCGGACGAACTCGGAAGACTACGAGGTACTTGCCAAAGGCTGCCTCAAACGGGGCTTACGGTTTCGGCTTTAGGGTTTCAGAGTTTCGGGTGCAGGGTTTAGGGGGTTCCTTTGGGGGACCTCCTACAAGGGACCGATTATTGAGGGGTCCCGTCTGTGTCCAAGGAAGGGAAGTTCAAAGAAGGGTTAAGGGCACAGGGTGTAAGCTTGAGGGTCTCGGGCTTGGGCTTCTAACAACTTACTTCCCCGGGAAGCTATAGAAACAAAAAGCTAAACTTTCCGAGTACTACTAAACTATAACCCTAAAACCCTAAAACCCCAAAACCCTAAAATTTCAAAACCCTAGACCCCTAAAACCCTGAAATCCTAAAAAGTTTGAAGGTTGGGTATTGGGGAACTAAGACAAGGAACTCTTAGGGTCATGCCAGAGCTGTCTCAAATGAAGGTATTTTGGGCGCCAATATGACGAGATTGGGGTTTAGGGTTTAGGGTTTAGTTTTGAGGGTTTAGGGTTTAGGGTTTAGGGTTTGGGTTCAGGGTATTGCTTGGGGCCTGTGGTAACTGGAATAGGACCGTGGGATAGATTGTACTACGTTCATCATACACAACCCTAAGGAACACTTGCCAAACGCTGCCTCCGTTCTTCAAATTAAGAAATTAAGTGCGCCTCACATGGCTAGTTTAAAGTGGAGTTACAAGTCCCTTAATATGGGTTGTAACTATAGTTACTCTACTTATAAGCCACTTATAACTACCCGTGAACCTCCAAGCCATGGGTTGTAACTAGAGTTACCCTACTTATAAGCCTACTTATACCTACCAATGAACCTCCAAGTAATCTCAAGCATGCTACTAATTTTAGGCTGCCTCGGACAAACGGATGAGGTTCGAGGGTTCAGGGTTTAGGGGCTTAGGGGGCTTAGGGGCTTTGGGGCTTAGGAGTTCAAGCTTAGGGGCTGAACAGCTTAGGGGCTTAGGGGCTTCGGGTTTTGGATTATTCCAGGGGTTCCGGAGTTCTGCACGGTGATTGTGCCCTAAACTCGAACCCTAAACCCTAAACCCTAACCCCCTTTAAAGGAACCCTTATAGTACCCTTACAGTAACCCTTTAAAGGAACCATAAGGAACCCCTAAGGAACCCCAAACCAGCGTTGAAGGAGCGAGCGGAAGGAGGGGCCTTGCGTCAGAGATGGGAGTTTCCGAGGAATTACGGGTACCTTATGGTTCCTTTAAAGGGTTACTGTAAGGGTACTATAAGGGTTCCTTTAAGGGGGTTAGGGTTTAGGGTTTAGAGTTTCTGAAATGAGGGGTACCTTATCTTGGGGTCCTTATAACAAGGATCCTGCTATCTAGGATACTATATTCGGGTCTCCTGTTTTCGGAAAACCCCAGATGCACCCATGGACTCCAAGATCCCTGAATGAAGGAGCATACCTTCAATTCTTCAATCATGTTCAACCCCAAGTCCTAAAAATCAAAACCCCTCGGTTTAGGGTTTAGGGTTTAGTGGTTTAGGAGGCATTAATATGGGGGCCATAAGAAACAGAATAGGGTTTTGGGGTATATGATGCTAGAATTATAATAGGGAACACCTAAAATAGTATTGGTCATTATTTAGGCCCCTATATTAAAGAGGGGCTTTAGATGTTTAGGGCTTGCTTTTGTGGTGGTTATGAGGGGATAGGTTTACGCGGTTTCGCATTTGACCGGAAAAGTCCCGGAACCCGATGAAAGGCCCACAAACCTTAAGTCGTGATCAGAAGACCCATATGCGTCAAGGAATTTGTGTAGTTCTCGAAATTAGGGTCCCTCCTTACGTCCCCAATATAGTACGTCGCCCAAGGACTCAAACAGGTACCCTAAGTTTGAGAACTACCCATATACCTTCAGTCATGATGACGATCTCCCCTAAAACCTTGCCTCATAACCCCATATACGAAGTCCCATGGTCCTTTAGGGTTTAAGGTTTAGGGTTTAGGGTTTAGGGTTTAGGGTTTAGGGTTTAGGGTTAACCTATAGATATCTCTGAAAGAACCTGTTAAGGAACCCCTTGAAGATCCGTTTAAGTTACTAAGTCCCATGATCCTTTAAGTACACATTCCCTAGGATGCCCAATACCCTAGGAATAAAAAGGGCTCTCTTTTTGGTATTGGGTAATTTTATAGGGAACCCAGGACTACAAAAAGAGGGAATAAGGGCACTACTGGGCATCCTAGTTCCTTCATAGCAAGGAGATCAACTTCTACAGTACCCGAAGTAGTAGGTTATAAGGACACCAAACCCTAAACCCTAAACCCTAAACCCTAATTTTTGGAAACTCATATATTCCTTCATAGCAAGGAGATCTTTGGAGCTCTGACCCCAGGCAGAAGAACCCTGAGCCCTGAGCCTCTCACGGTTTTGGAAGGGAAAGAGTGGGCCCCAAGTGGGTTCAGGGTCCTAGGTTCCTTTAAGGGTTTAGGGTGTTCCTTAAGGGTTTAGGGTTTTAAGGCTCCTTTAAGGGTTTACTGTTTTAAGGTTCCGTTAAGGGTTTAGGGTTTTAAGTTTCCTCTAAGGGTTTAGGGGTTTAAGGTTCCTTTAAGGGTTTACTGTTTTAAGGTTCCGTTAAGGGTTTAGGGTTTTAAGTTTCCTCTAAGGGTTTAGGGTTTTAAGGTTCCTTTAAGGGTTTACTGTTTTAAGGTTCCTTTAAGGGTTTAGGGTTTAAGGTTCCTCCAATAAACCCTAAACCCTAAGCCCTAAACCCCTAACCCCTGAGCCCGAAACCCTAAACCCCAGAGAACCCTTGTAGGTCAAGGAAGTGTGAGGTTTAGGGAGTTGGGAAGAAGAAACCCCAAAACCCTAAACGAAAAGGCAACCATCTTCCAAAAGATCAGAGCTCTAAAACGAAACTTGCAAAATCACTGTCAAACCAAATCCGGAACCCTAAATCCTACACCCTAAACCCTATACTCCAAAGACCAAACCATGAAGCCCTAAACCCTTGCAGAATGCTTGCAGTAGGGGCCAAAAAAGCACATGAGCAAGCATTAGGATAGGGATGTCCCATATAACCCCCCTTATAATGAAACCCAATAGGGTAGGGATATCCGTATAAAATGCTTATGCTTATGTCCTTTTGGGGTCCCGAATATAAGGCCCGTGTAGAATCGAGGGTTCTACAGGCCTATCAAAGCCCTTTCCACGTCGCGGCCGTGCTGCCGTAAAGTCTGCAAGGAAGACGTTGGTGCCAACTACGACCTGGGTTGTTCTCGGCTCGGAGACACATTTCAGTCAGTCAGCCAGGCAGTCAGTCAGACAGCCAGGCAGTCAGTCAGTCAGTCAGTCAATCCGTCAGTCAGTCAGCCAGCCAGTCAGCCAGCCAGCCAGTCTGCCAGTCAGCCAGTCAGTGAGTTAGTTCGCTCCCTTCGTTGTTTTGTCAGTCTGTTAGTTCGCCAGTTCGTCAATTCGCTAGCTAGGCAATTAGTGAGGTTAGGTTGGGTTGGGTTAGGTTAGGTTGGGTGAGGGTAGGTTAGGTAGGTTAGGTTAGGGTTTAGCTTCAGGTGCAAGTTCAAGCTTAGGTTCAGGTTTATTTAGGTTTAGGGTTAGGTCTAAAAGTTTAGCGGTAGGCGAGGTTAGCTTAGGTTAATTAGCTATGAATGCATTCGCCTTTTATTCGTATTAATTATACATTTTATGTTCGTGAGAATGAGTTTGCCAAGAATAGCGCGCATTTGGTCTTAGCAAGTCCTGAAAACGAAAAACAATCTTCTTGAAAGACCTAGCCACAGCGAGCCAGCCGCCCTTGATCAGCGCCAAAACGACCTTACTGAGCTTATGTTGGTTGGGCTTTAACTATCCAGAGATTCCAAAATCCCGTAATTCAGAAATATTCCTGAATCCTGAAATCGGAGACGGAATCCTACTATAATATAAAGTATATTCCTGAATTCCCGTATAGAACCCTTATAAACTCCTTTAAGAAACCCTTTAAGGAACCCTAAGGCATATTCCGTAATTAATAGATATTGGAGTCTCTGGGTAAGCATCAACTCCATACCTGTATCCAGATCCCCCAATTCCCTGCCCATAGCCCCCATGGTAGATCCGTTTTGGGGTTCATATGTCAAAAAGGAACTGCTATGGGGCCTATGGGTAAACCCTAACCCTAAAACCTAAACCGCAACAGGCAGTCGCAATCAAACCAAAAAAGTCTTAGCGCTTACGGCTTCCCGGAGGCTCCACGAACCCTCAATTAAGGCTTGGGTTGAGGGCCTAGGGTTTAAGGTTCATTAATGTTTCCTGACTAATATACCTCTCTCCCTCAAAAAAAGGCTTCAAGCCGCGATCCCAAAAGAAAGTCCTGAAAGGAAAACCAGGCTTCATTAATCAGGTGTCTACATTAGAAGGGGCCCCCACCCTGTAACAGTGACCATAGGGATTATATAGGATTATATTAGGGCCCCAGTAGATTCCTATTATACCACTATTACAGGGTGGGGGCAGCTTCTAATGTCTACATCAACCACGCAACCCGAAACACAAAACCCGAAGTTCCAATCTCTAAACCCTAAACCCCAAACTCGAAGCCCGAATGTCTAAGCCCTAATCATAGGGATCCATAGGGCCTGGTACCCTAGGCCCTTTCTTTTTATGGACCCCTTACTAAAACTGAAATTGAATAGCAGGAAAAGGGATCGTTTTATGATTACGGGGACACTGGCGAACCTAGAGTCATAGGGATCCTTAGGGGTGTAGGGGGGAGGGGTGTAGGGAACTATATTTCCTTAAATAGGCCTTATTAGTCCTTATTATGGGCCTTAAGGCCCCCTACCCCCCCTCCCCCTACACCCCTAAGGATCCCTATGACCTAAACCCTGAACTTTGAACCCTGAACCCGAAACTCTAGATTCTCCCCTGAAGGATCTGAATCACTGCGTGGAAACTTGAGGGCTCCGGGCTGTGGTTGGGAGCATGAAATCTGAGGTTTAAGATACTTAGAGGGTTCAGGGCTTAGGGATTAGGGTTTCAGGGATTCCTGCTAAAATTTTAGAGTAAACTTCGGAAATCCAGGATATCGGAGTCTCTGGGTTCAGGATAGTTAGAGTCCAAGGGTAAAAGGAGGGACCCTTAATAAGGACCCCTAGGTATATACCCTTAATATAGCTATTATATACCCATTATATAGCCCATTATAGGGTAGGGGTCCGCATTCAGGGTCCCTCCTTTTCGCCTTTGAAAGAGGGTTCAGGGTTTAGGGTTGAGGGTGGATGGCCTTGTTAAGTTGAATGGGGGGTAGCAATGAGGATTGCCCTGGCCCGCCCGGGGTATTTAAAAAAACGGATGGGAGTACATAGGTTCATAATTTAAAATAGGGTTCTGGTTGAGGTTTGTAGGTTTCTATACAGGTCTTGAGGGGTGCGTGCTATAGCAGGTAGAGTTATGTTAATGTTAATAAACCCTGAGGAATAGTGTTGGCAATTATTTCGGTTTTTGTCATTCTGGTTGAGGGTTATATAAGGCTTCATGGCGTTGGGTTTGGGTTCCATTTCCTAATTTTCTAGGGACGCTGAAAAACGCATGGCCAGGGACATGCAAAAAGTAACCGTGGACCTTGGGTACGGCCCCATACAGTAAGAGTCTATAATAGGGCTACTATTAAGGTTCTAATATATCTATATTATGAATACTATTCAACTATTACTGAGTGGGGGCCGTACCTAACATGGACCCTAAACCCCCTAGCCCGAAGAGCAACAACCCCTTACTTCCCCAATAAGCCACAGAAATAAAAGGTCATACTTTCCGATTACTACTAAAGTATAAGAGCCATTACTACTAAACTATAAGAGCCATTGCTACTAAACTATAAGAGCCAATACTACTAAACTATAGGAGCCATTACTACTAAACTATAAGAGCCATTACTACTAAACTATCAGAGCCCAAAAAGTTTAAAGGGTTTGGTATTGGGGAACTAAGACCCTGCCTGAATCCTGAACCATGCCATGAGACAACCAGCAGAACAGGCATGAGATTCCTCAGTGCTCTTCTGTCTAGTTCTTAGCACGGATTTGGGGAATGGGTTATGGAGGCTACGATTGGGGATTTTAGGGGCTACTATAACCCTAACCCCTAAACCCTAATCCCTCACCCCCAACCCCTAAATCCTAAACCACAAACTCCAAATAGGGGCTACTATGGGGATCCATTCCCCCATTCCCTACTAAGAACCAGACAGCTCAGCGTTGAAGATGTAAGGTTCAGGGTTCTTGTTTTTGGGTGCTCACTTTAGAAAACGCTCTATGAAGGCTTAAACGGGGTTTAGGGTTTAGGTTTCGGTTTAGGTGCTCACGTTAGAGAAATGCTCGATTCCTGGGCATCAAAATAGCAGAAAAGCCGTATATGGTATGGTCTTTGGGCCCAAAGGCCTTTATATATGAGTCCTTAGATCCCTAGTGTATGAAGGCTGGGCTTCGGGTTGAAAGCTTTGGGGCTTGAGGCGTCGGGGCTCTGGGTTTAGGGTAAAGGGTTTAGGGTTTAGGGTAAAGGGTGCCTGCTTTAGGCGTAGAGTCGTTCAATATAGGGGCCTGAATAATTCGAAAAGGGTTTCGGGGCCCAGTATACTATAGCTATAACAAGGAACGCCCAGAATAATGTTGGTACTTATCTAGGCCCCTATATTAATTGAAATTTGGTGGCGGCTGACGAAGACGGGGACTATTATTGAAAATTATATAGCTGGAGGAATCCATTCCCCAATTCCCTGCTAAGCACCAGCCAACACCCAAATCCCGAAATGTTTAGCGGTCCGGTTAACAAGTCTCTTGGGACATAATTATGGGGTCTGTATCAAGGTCCCGAAATGTTCTGAATCTCCTATACTTGGTTCCAACTGAAAAGGGCAACCTTTTCGTATAGTTCTGTCTTGATAAGAAACCCCAAGACCAGAAGAAAGGTGTACCAAACGAAATACTCCTATCCCAACACCCTAAACCTTAAACGAGCATGTTAGCTTAACAAATTCGAGGTCACCCTATCAATCGGGCCCCGCAAGGCATATCCTCCCACCCGTACGAGAACCCTTACAAGAACCCCAACCCAACCCCTATTTAGCCCGATCTCAGCAAGGCGTGGGTGTAGTAGAGCTCCTTCTCCACGTTCAGCATCGAGAGCCTCAGATTCCCAGCGTTGCTGAGAGCTGTGTCAGGGCTGTGTATAAGAATTCCAAGGCTTGAGCTGTGGCTTCTTGCATATGCTCCACAATGTGATGCGGGCCCCTGATTGGTAAACCTCCTTCCCTAAACCCTAAACCCTAAACCCCAAACCCTAAACCCTAAACCCTACCCTTCTATCAGGAGTGTAATAGTACACACTCATAGAAAGAAGGGGCGCCTTCTCCATCAGCTGTCTGGTGCATAGTAGGGGATGGGGAATGGATCCCTATAGTAGTGCCAATTTAGGGTTTAGGGTTTAGGGTTTAAGGGTCAGGATTATAGTTGTCCCTAAATAACCCCAATAGTAGACCCCATAACCCATTCCCCCATTCCCTACTAAGAACTAGACAGTCAAGGGTCCACATGACTCCTGGCTCCTACAAATACTTAAACTATATAGCTCAACATGTTTAAAACTACCGATGATCAAAACACCCAAATCAAAAAAGCCGAGCAGAAGAGAGACCTACTTAGCATAGACCCCTGATGTATAGACCCGCGTTCTTGAAGGGCATGAGTATTGCATGGGGTGGTGCACTAACCAGGCGTACAGTATAGTAGCCTTCATAACTCGAACAAGGTTTCGGGCTAAATTTCAAGGGGGACGCCATGCGTAATTACTGCGGCCAAACTAACCTGTTCATCAGGCTGGTTGTGCTCCGCAACTTCAGACCCCTCCCCCGCCCCGGAGCCTAGTCGACGAAGATGCTTTCAGGGCTTGAGGCTTAGCGTTTCAGGTTTAGGGTTAAGAACCCATACTATGTGAGCCTGATTGTTGTTCCTTGAGGTTCCTTATTATATTTATACCAAAAAGCAGCTCAAAACCCTATTCTAATTATTAAGGCCGTTTATTACCAGTCGTCTTGTTGATGCTGCCTAAGCCGTAAGCCGTTGCTCGACTTTGCTTCTCTGATGACGCCCCAGGCCCCAAGCCTGAAACCCTAAATGCTGAACAAGGAAACCCATACCCTCTGAGGACCCTTGACACCTTTGTTCTCTCTTCGTTGTGACTGTGAGCTTTGCTGACTCAGCTTAGGGTGGCCGTAATAATCAGCATAGGGTTTTGGGGCCCACTATACGATAATTATAACAAAGAAACCCCCAAATTGTATAAATTATTTAGGCCCCTGGTTTACTCTTGTCAACGTTTTCGCTGGAGCGCTTCCTAGCACGCTCAGTGCGATGCTATCCACCATGCCCTCAATGCTGACGAAGGTCCTGCTTACTATAGCAGCCTCACTGACTATACTACGGTTATTAAAACCCTAAATCCTAAACAGCTACCGGAGTTCCTAGAATCCTAGAACCCTAAACCCCAAACCCTAAACCGGGGTAGGGTATTGGGTTTAAGGGCTCTTTGCATCGTACCATCGGTGCACCCAGTTCCGGGTTTGCCTCTTACGAACCTTACCAACCTTCCTTCCCTTTACTTGGAAGGGCAGGGGACTTAGTAAGGGCTCTTAAAGGGCTCCTTAAAGGGATCTATAGGGTTCCTTAAAGGGATCTATGGGGTTTAGGGTTTAGGGTCTACTTGGAAGGGCAGCGGACTTAGTAAGTAGGTTAGAAGTAGGGCTATAATTGGGGTTAACTCCATTTAGGGTACTTATAACTCTACTTATAACCTACTTACTAAGTCCCCTGCCCCTCCAAGTAGAACCTGTAACCCATGGAAATGCTAGTGATCAAAGGCGCCGTGCAAACCTCAAGAGGCTTTTGATGTACATCATCCTCGAGATATATAGGGGTTACACGGGGAAAAAAACTGCCGGTTATTATCTGTATGTTGGAGTGGGGTGTATCTCGTCTATCACTTGCGGTTACAAGCACGGCAGGTATTTGTACTCCCTACTGACTTGCGCAAGGGCCTGCCATGCAACGGGCCCATGCTCAACTGCTGATCCTAAGCTCTCTTCCCTGAACACAAAAGCCTCAATCTCTCAACCCTAAACCCTGGGATATGCTTTGTCTTTCGAGTAGCAAGCACGCTGCCGACATCGTGCTCCCGTGCTCTTTGCCGCTCAAGAAGAAGAGTGGGAATTCCGCGTACTCCAGGAACTCCTGCCGTCAGCTTAGAAACCCTCAAACCCTCCGGACCCACATTTATTTCCTTGAGGGATCTATAGGGGACCCTAGGGTTCTTTTAGAGGGTTCCTTAAAGGGATCTATAACGGTTCTATAAAGGGTTTTTGGGGTTTAGAGTTTCCGAAAATGAGGCAGTACCTTATTTTGGGGGGTCCTTATAATAAGGATCCTACTATTTAAGGTACTATAATTAGGGTCCCCTATTTTCGGAAACTCCCACATTTATTTCCCTGAACCCTAAACCCCTATACCGGTGAATTGCGGAAAAATTGCTTAGAACCTTCTATACTTGTACAATTTTCTTCGAGCCGCCAAAGGCCCCTACACCAAATTACCCACGGACTATTAAACGCAACAAAAGGCCCAAGGTTAAAACCCAGCACAATCACAGGAACAATCGTGGCTACCGTCCTATAGAACATAGAAGACAGGTCGGTGAAACACGTTACCCCTGAAATCCTGTCCAAAACACTAAACCCTACTACCTACACCCTAAACCCCAAACCCTGAACCCCAAACCCTAAACCCTAAACCCTAAACCCTAAACCCTACTACCTACACCCTAAACCCTAAACCCTAAACCCTAAACCCCAAACCCTGAACCCTGAACCTTAACCATATTCGAAGGCCGCTGTAGTTGGTGGAGGCACCTCCACATGCTGCGGCCTGCTTCTGGGTCGGCACAGCTTAGGGTTTGGTTTAAAGTTTAGAGTTTAGGGTTTAGGGTTTAGGGTTTGGTTTAAAGTTTAGAGTTTAGGGTTCCCCGCGTGCTTTCATCGAAGTCTCCATCATGGTGAAAGAAGGAGCAGCTTGTTCGCGTCAAATTCGGGCTCCACACAAAACTGGGAACTCGGATGGCTGCTGTGCCGGGCCAGTCGTCGATGTCCTCGACGGTATTGGAGAGCCTAAAGGGCGAGAGGCGTAGCAGCGTAGCAACTAAGGAAAAAGGGTATGCTGGCGGCCCGAAGTGAGTTTCGTCCGGATAGCCGGCGTCCGCGGCTGTGCGAATCATCCTCGGCAGTCCAATGCTGACCCAAAGCATACTTTTGCCTCACTGTCCAAGTCTGACATCCTACTAAATAGTGGGATCCTTAGTATAAAGGACCCCAAAATAAGGTACCCGCTTTAGGTGGCTGTGGAGTTTAGGGTCTATTGCTTTGGGTTCAGGTTTGAGGGTTGATTGAGGGCTGAGAGTTGAGGGTCGGGAGTTCACAGCATTTACGTGGCGGTTTAGGGTTTAGGGTTGGGGGCTTCAGGTTTAGGGCTTAGGGTTTGGGGTTTCGGGTTTAGGGTTTAGGGGTTTAGGGTTTTAGGGTTTAGGGGTTTAAGGTACCCCTACAAGCAGCAAACGTCAAATCCCGCTACTCACGACCACCTTACTGCGATCTTAAGGTGCCCAAGGACACAACAGTGGAAGGTCTGATTCTGGAACGGCTCCTGTAAGGATACCAGCGCAGGGTCTAGGATTCTAGGTTTAGGAAGTAGAGTACTCCACAACCCTAAACCCTAAACCCTTAAACCCTAAACCCTAAACCCTGAACCCTAAACCCTAAACTCTAAACCGACCCTTTTCTGTCGCTTTGGGTACATTCGTTTGGGCACATACGGCCCTCATGGGACGTAGTACCTAGGGTTCCTTGGAGGGTTGCTCACGGGCCGCGATAAGAGACCTGTACGGGCTCAAGGCTTTACTTGGAGGATCATGGGACTTAGTAAGTGGGGTTATAGGGGTCCCTTTAAGGGATCTACAGGGCTACTATAAGGGTTTAGGGTTTAGGGTCTACTTGGAGGATCATGGGACTTAGTAAGTAGGATTATAAGTACCTTAGTTAAGGTTATATGTACTTATAAGTGTAGTTACCTTACTTATAACCCCAATTACTACGTCCCATGATCCTTTAAGTAAGGATCATGGACTGATAAGCTCTAGCGACCTTAGTTCTGACTCATAAACCCAACTTACTGTCTCCCATGATCCTACAAGTAAAGGGCTTCCTTGCAAGAGAGGAGGAAGCACCTGTCCAGCTGGTGCTATTGGGATCTAGGTAATTACTACTATTTGCTTAAGAACCCCCAAAAAATAAAAATTATATTCCTTATGTGGGTATTATAGGGATTTTTTTTATTTTTGTGGGTTTCTTAAGCAAATAATAGATTAAGTCAGGGGGGCTCTTATGTGTTGCTGCAAGTCCCAGGTCCTAAAACCCTTAAGACTAAATAAACCCTAAACCCTAAAACCCTAAACCCTAAAAGATTCAAGAGAAGGATTTCTTGAGCGCCTGGTGGGCCCTTTCCACACGTTGTTTGGGTTGCCTACTTGGAGGGGCAGGGGACCTAGTAAGTAGGGTTATAAGTAGGGTTATAATTGGGGTAACTCCATTTAGGGTACTTATCACTCTACTGATAACCTACTTACTAAGTCCCCTGCCCCTCCAAGTAAGGCTTTGTGGGATTGTACTCGGGGCAGGATTTCGAGAGCGTTCGACTGTATTGTGCTGAGAGTGTAAAGAATACACAAAATTGAGGGAAACTGGGGTCAAAAGCCTCTTGTTTACGAGCACCGTCAATTAAACCACCTCTAAGTATGCCTGACATTCTGGGTTCTTGTTAAGGGATTTACTTCAAGCTACCATAGTAAGGAAACCTTACTAGTTACTGTAGATCCCTACTGTGTTAACTGAAATTAACCCTACTTGTCGGGTATCATGGGGAACTAAAGGTCAACCTTTTTGGTTATATAGGGGTGATATACGGACTATACTACCCGAAAAAAAGGTTCAAGGTTACCCACTCTACAACTAGGTGACTCCATTTTCAGAAACCCAACCTTAAACCCTAAACCCTATTATGGTAACTTAAATCAAGCTCCTTTTTCAAGAGCCCAGCCCGAAACCCTAAACCCTAATATGGTAACTTAAATCAAACTCCTTTTTCAAAAGCCCAGCATTCATCGAAGTCCTGAGACCGCTGTTGCAAGCCCTCGAAAGCGCTGGTTTGCATCACCCCCGACCTGCTGCTAAAGTCCACGGTTTAGGGTTTACTTGAAGGGTCAGGGTTTAGGGTTTAGGGTTTCATTGGACTTAATAACTGGGGGGGTTAAAAGTAAGGTGACTACGGTCAAAGTATATGTATCTACTTACTAAGTCCCATGATCCTCCAAGTAGGATTCGCCTCACTGTGGCAGGTCATGGTTTTCTGGGCTCTCGGAAGTAAAGCGCTAAGGTGCAACGTTTCGGGTTTCAAGCTTGGCATCCAGCGTAGTTCTGCTTAGCTGTGAAGTACGGTTGATGATGTAAACCCTGCATTATCCATAATAAGGACTATACCATTATTCCCATAGTTTAGGGTCCTTAAGGTATAATGCAGGATTTATGTCATAAGCCCTAAACCCTAAACCCTATATAGATCCCTTAAAGGAGCCCCTTAAAGGCACCCTTATAGATCCCTTTAAAGGGACCCCAGGATTTATATCATCAACCGTAGTACCGGAAACAGCCCGTCAGCCATGGCACACTACTTAAAGGATCATGGGACTTAGTAAAGTAGGGTTCCTTAAAGGGGTCCCTTTTTAGGGATCTATAGGGTTCCTTAAAGGGATCTGTAGGGTTTAGGGTTCAGGGTACTACTTAAAGGATCACGGGGACTTAGTAAGTAGGTTATAAGTGGGGTTATAAGTCCGCTAAGTGGGGTTATCCGAATTATAACCTACTTATAACCTTACTTACTAAGTCCCATGAGCCTTTAAGTAGCTCCCACGAAACTTTTAATCACAGGGGAAAAGGCGGGACCCTTAATGGGGACCCCTGGGTCCCTATAATGGGCTATCTAATGGGTATATAATAGCTATATTAAGGGTATATACCTAGGGGTCCTTATTGAGGGTCCCTCCTTTTACCCTTGGATTTTAAGACCATGAGAACACAAGTCACTACACTGGAAGATACCTGCACCCGCACGAGGGCGGTAGTGCCAGTAGCCCTGGTACTCGTTCGTAGCCGCGGTACCCGTAGCAGGTCCTAAAACCCCAAAACCCTAAACCCCTAAACCCCCAAAGCCCTAAACCCCTAAACCCCTAAAGCCCTTAACCCTAAACCCCTAAACCCGAAGTAGCCGCAGTAGTCGTACTAATCGTGGAAGTCGCAATCGCTGCAGGCGCCTTTCTAGTTCTTGTAGTCGTAGCGGTCGTGGCAGTTGTAGCTGCAGAAGGTACAGTCGCAGTATTAGTCCTAGTAATAACAGCAGAGTAGCAGCAGAAGTGGCAATGCCGAGGGCTTCCAAAATGAAGAACAGTAGTCATGCCTTGCTTGCTGCTGAAACTTTAGGCGTTTGGAGATTTAGGGCTTACTTAAAGGATCATGGGACTTAGTAATTGGTAATTAACTACAGTTACAATTGCTTATAACCCCAATTGGTGTACTTATAAGGGTTTGGATTTAGGGGTTGAGGCTTTGGGATTCTGTCCAAGCCACCGAACTCATCCTAAGGCGGTACTCTCGGCTCGGAACGAGGCAACCCCCTGTACTGCTCCAAGCAGCGTAGCTGCCGGTGTTCAACCCAAAGGGCCCAAGTGCCAGAATAGCCCACGGTTTAGGGTTTAGGGCTTAGGGTTTAGGGTTTAGGGTTTAGGGTTTAGGGTTTAGGGGCGCTTTAGGTCCCGTCTTGGTACCTATTATTCGGGTACTTGGACACTTAAGTGACGTCGACATCACACCCAAGCATTGCGGGCCCAGTGGCACAGCGATTCCGGCGACTGCTTGGAAGGCCATAAGCTGGTTCAGCCTCAGATGTGTTGTGCTCAAAGGCATCATGGAAAAACTGGGGTTTAAGGTGTAGAGTTTAGGGGTCTAGGTTTAGGCTTTGGGGGTTTAGGGTTTATGGGGACTGGGTGGTTGTGATGATTCATGTCTGGATTGAAGGTTTAAGGTTTTGGGGTTTGGGCCTTACTGGAAAGGAACTCTGAGCTTACCGGACGTTCAGGGGCTAAGGCTTGCACACCCAGACCCCCGGGAGGATCTAGAAAGTAGATCCCCTATTTTGGGGCCCTATACTACTAAGGGTACTTTATAGGAACCCCCATTAAGGGATCTACTTGTTTGGATCCTCCCGAGGGTCTGGGTAGACAATAGTCGTGCCTGGCGTTGATGCTGGTATGCGTGTTGGTATTTGCAGTGCCAACTCGTCGCTGCCGACGCCGCAGTACTGCTACTGCTAGTGCTACTGATGCCACTACAATCATGATACAACGACGACCTCGTTCGCTGGAACCTGCAACAGCTTTAGCCCGTCAGCTTGTACGCGACCATCGTCATCATGCCTGATACGGCTCTGATCCTTACGGTTGATGGTGTAAATCCTGCATTACCCATAGTGAGGAATATACCATTATTCCCATAGATTCGGGCCTTATGGTAATGCAGGATTTATATCATCAACAGTATCACGGCAAACTTACGGTTTTTCCGCCAGGGTCAACATCATCAGTGCCAACCCTGTCGGTCGCCGCCACATTGACATGTCACCTGTATGTTACTCACTTGGAGGGTCGGGGGACTTTGTAAGTAGGTAGTATATAAGTAGACTTATAAGTACCCTGAAAGGGACCCTAAAAGGGACCCTAATCGGGGTTATGGTACTGATAAGCCCCTAAAATAACCAGTTACTAAGTCCCTCGACCCTCCAAGCATCATAAGAGCCGTCAACGTCATCATAGTTGAACGCCAGCATCATCAACACCCTTGACCCTAAACTCCTGAACCTCCGGCACACATCCATAAACCCTCAACCCTAACTCAACCCACACCCCAAACCTTAAACCCTAAACCTTCAACCCTCAACCCTGAACCCTAAACCCTGAACCCTGAACCCTAAACCCTAGGCAGGAGGCAAGATGGCTGAAGCTGCCTGCTTCTGCGCTGCTCCTGTGACCTTGGGACGGAGGACCGACAGCTTTACGGTCTGCTTGGGGGATCATGGGACTTAGTAAGTAGGGTTATAAGCCCTTAACTGTGGTTATAAGTAGTTAGAACTGTAGTTACCTCACTTATAACCCTACTTACTAAGTCCCATGATCCTCCAAGTAGGGTTGAGGAATTTAGGGTTTACGGGGGTTGAGGAATTAAGGCTTTAGGGTTTAGGGCTTAGGAATTTAGGGTTGACGGCTTAGGGCTTCAGAATTTAGGGTTTAGGATTTAAGGCTTCGGAATTTAAGGTTTAGGGTTTAGGGCTTCGGAATAGGGTCTAGGGCTCAGGAATTTAGGGTTTAGGGGGGTTGAGGAATTTAGGGTTCAGGGTTGAGGAATTTAGGGCTTAGGGTAAAGGAATGCAGGGTTTAGGGTTGAGAAGTTTAGGGTTTAGCGTCTCTAGGAATTTAGTGAGTTAAAGATGTGGGAGTTAGGATTAGGGGGACCCTTGGGGATATAGACCCTCTCAATAAGGCCCCTTTTAAGAGAGCCAGAAGTAGGGCTCAGAAGGGCTACCCTTTTGGGAGTCTCCCTAATAATACCACCTAAGATGGGGGAGTTGGGGTTTGCGAGCTTTAGGGGCGAGTGAACTGGTGTAGTCAGACCATGCCCGAAAACATCGTGAAAAGAAAACGCTAGGTTATTCATCACGATGTATGATTATGTATGTATCTACATGGGTCCGCATAGAATATATACGTATGCATTGCTGTATACGTATATGTATATATACATATATATATGTATATATATATATATATATATATATATATATGTTTATATATTTATTGACCTGCAGTGCGACGCTTTCTGTATATATATATATATATATACATGCATACACCTACCTGTGTGCTTTTCCGAAGACAAAGGCCTGAATTCTGAAGCGCTAACCCCGAACCCTAAACCTTAAACCCCCGAACCCTAAACCGCTAAACCCCTAAGCCCCTAAACCCCTAAACCCTAAACACCCTAAACCCCTAAACCCGACACTCTAAACCCTGAACCCCAAACCCACGGGATTCCGAACGCTGGCCACCGCAGAGACGAAGAGGACAATGCTTTTGCCCATGTGGAAAGAAATGTACTGGACTGCCTTCTGGGATGTAAGTTCCTTTAAAAGGGGTCTATGGGTCTATAAGGGCTACTACCAGGGATCTCTAAGGGTGTGGGATTTAGGTTTTTCGAACTTCCGGGTTAAGGGCGTAGGGTTTAGGATTTAGGGTTTAGGGTTGTGGGTTTAGGGTTTAGGGTTGCGCAGTCATAGAAGTGAACAGAGACCCTCCCCGAGAAGTTAATTCCGTCATTTCAGTCCTTGCCCAGTGCATGGCATGGAATGCCGGCTGGAGCTCAGATGGTGATGCATCTGACGATAGAACTTTGTAAGGGTGCGATGAAACACGGCAAGGTTTTCAGGCACCCCGTCAGGTCTTTCCAGGAAGAACCGCTAAACTAGACAAGGCCTCTTGTTGCAATTATCGGGAGCTTCAATATTAAGTTGGCCCTTTAAAGCATTTAAACAAGTACTCGCCAATAAGATCATCCTTTGCCAAATAAGGGAAAATCACAAGAATATCCGAAAGGCCTATGCACCCTAGACAACTAGTAACTAGAAGACGCGGGAGTCTCTGGGCATGACGACGGGGCGAGGCATGGCTCTGGCCTCCGACCCCGAAACCCTACGCGCAGTATGTGGGAGTTTCCCAAAATAGGGGACCCTATATGGTGCCCTCAATAGTAGGATCCTTATTATAAGGGCCCCTAAATAAGGTAGCCCTAATTGTTGAAAACTCTCATGTGGATTGAGGATTTGGGCTTTAGTTCAAGGTTTCGGGTTATCTGGGAGAGTTTAGCGGTTTAGGGCTAGCGACATACAAGTCGGTAGACCGTAACTCCTGCCACACCAATGGCTTCTAGAGACCCCCTGAACCCGGGATTCGTCTGACTACTGAAGAGTCTCCAAAGGGATACTTGGAGGTTCATGGGTAGTTATAAGTAGAGTTCTACGTCCCTTAATACGGGTTGTAACTGTAGTCACCCTACTTATAAGCCCACGTATAGCTACCCATGAACCTCTAAGTACCACATTGACATGGCACCCACAAGGTTCCTCCTATAAGGGAACGCGAGGTTACCATCGTGCTACCATATGGGTAGTTGTCAAAATTAAGGTCCCTTTTTGGGTACCCAAATAGGGACCCAAAAAGGACCCCAATTTTGACAACCACCCATATGCTTAACACAGGCTTCCTAGAAGAAGAACCTGACTAAGAAACCCCCGGTCTTGTATCCTCAAGTTGGGTAGTAGGAGGATCCTTAGGAAGAGCTCAAGCAGTAGTAAAGGTTTAGGGTTTAGGGGTTTAGGGCCTAAGGGGTTCAGGGGTCATATAAGGGTTTTGAACTTGTTTCCCTACCACCAGCTTATCGAGAACTTCATCAACAAGAGACTCGAAGCCGTAAACCCTAAACCCGAAATCCGAAACTAAAACCAGAGTCCCTAAACTCTAATTAAACCCTAAGGCAAAAGCCAGAAAGTTGGAATATGATTATCCTAACCCTTCTATGGTAAGTTATAGGGTATCCTACCATGAAACCATATTCCAACTTTCTGGAGTTTCCTATAAACCCTGTGCCTGCCACATGGCCGTAGAGCAATGCAGGCATTTCAGAACCTGAGCTGTTGTTGGAAGCCCTTGGAAGACAACTAGACCCAAGAGTAACCCAGGAATAAAAAGGGTGCCCTTTTGCTTTAAAGGGGCTTGTAAGGGAACCTGAACCCTAAAAAAGGGAATAAGGGCCTACTCTGGGTCCTAGACAATAGCTTTTGTGCAGGAGCCTGAATGAGTAGAATAACGATACGTTGAAGGGTTCCTTTGAAGGGGTCTGTAAAGGCTACTAATACAAGGAATCCATAAGAGTACTATACTACAGGGGCCTTCATAGTTAGAACCCTATGTTTCAGCCCCTATAGTACATTTTAAACGAGTCTTGAGACCAGACCACCACTGAAAAGCAAAAACGGCCCTGCGATACTAAATTGAAACTTGCAAAAACCTCACGACTCTAGTCTACCAAGATTTCAAGAAACCCTAAACCCTAAACCGGTAAACCCCTATCCCCTAAACCTAAACCCTAAACCCCTAACCCCCTAAGTTCAAGAAAGCCCCAGAGGCGTTGTGGTCTGCCCTGCCGTAGTCTGCTGCACATGACGTGCACCTCAGTCAGCAGTTCGGCATGGTGCTTGAAGCGGTTCCTTTAAAGAGGTCTATAAGGGCTACTACAAGGGAATCCATCAGGGGGTAGGATTTAGGTTCCTTTAAAGGGGTCTATAAGGGCTGCTACAAAGTTTGAGGGCTCCCTTTTGGGTCCGCACGAAGTGTACCAAATTCCTATTCAGGCGAGCTTCGGTGAAGGGTTTAGGGCTTAGGGTTTGAGGGCTTAGGGCTGCCAGGACTTATAGAGGGTTGATCAGGATCTAGGGTTTAAGGCTTAGGGTTCGAGGGGTTGAGAGCTTGAGCACGTCAGAGTAGAGGGCTTAAAGGATCATGGGACTTAGCAATTGGGGTTATCAGTAAGGTAACTACAGTTATAACTAGTTATATACCCCCGATTAAGGTACTTATAACCCTACTTACTATGTCCCATGATCCCCCGAGTAGGGTTCATATAAGGCGTCAGGGCTTCAAGGCATGGGGCTTCACGATTGAAGAAAAAGGATTGATTAAAGTTTCGGGTCTAGCGTTTGGGTCTAGGGCTTAAGGTTTATGGCTAAGGGTTGCTTAAGTCTACGGGCATTGCATTCGCGGTTTGAAATTGGGGGGCCTGAGGTGCGAGGGTCGGGAGGTTGATGCCGTTAGGGTTAAGGGATTGGAAACTTAGGGTTTGCTATACACTATATGTACTACATACTATATGACACTGTATACTATATAACACTACATATTAGAAGAAAAAGGCTATAGACTTTATACTATATAATGCTTTACTATAGTACTAGTACTTGTACTGGTACTGGTACTATTACTCTTGCTGCTACCATTACTATTACTATTGCTATTGCTGTTGCTGTTGCCATTGCCATCACCATTGCCAATACTGTTACTATGGCTATTGCTGTTGGTAGTGCTATTTCTCGTGCTATCACCATCACTATCACTGTGACTGTTACTCTTACGAATACAAGTACTATTGCCATTGACATCGCCATTGCCATTGCTACTGCCATTACCATTACCATCCCTATTACTATTGCTATTACGATTACGACTGCTAATACGATTGCTAGAACTATTGCTATGACAAACCGTTACTACTGCTACCGCTATTGCTAGTGCTGGTGCTACTGCTATCACTCTCACTGTCAGTCACTACCACTATCACTATGAATATTAGTATTACTACTTGTTACGATTACTATTGCTATTGCTACTGCTGCTACTATTCCTAGTACTTTTACTATTGCTATTGCTATTCCCATTGCTATTGCTACTGCTATTGCCATTGCTAGTACGATGCCCTTTACTAGTACGATTACCATTATCATTACTACTGCTATTGCGACTACTACTACGATTGCGACTACGATTGCTAGATTACTAGTACTAGTACTATGACTATGCTGGTGCGAGCTTAGCGTTTAGTAAACGAAACGTCGGATTGGAATCTCCTGGCCGGGTTCGGTGATTCAGGGCCAGGTTTAGGGTTTAGGGTGTAAGTTTAGGGTTTAAGGTTTAGGGTTTCGGGGTTTAGGGTTTAGAGGTTTAGAAGTTTAGGGTTTAGTGTTTAGACGTTTTGGGTTTAGGGTGTAGGGTTTAGGGTTGGGTGAGTCTCAGCAAAAAAGGGAGCTCAAGAACCACGGGTTGAAATTCAGGATCGTTGTTCGTAGGAGGCCCCAAAGGGAGACCCCACGGATTTTAAGAAACCACGGCCAAACCCAGAGACTCCAATATCCCTCAATTAAGGAATATTCCTTAAATCACATTGGGCATCCTACTATAATTTAAGGTATATTCCTTAATTAATATTGGGGTCTCCTTGAAACCCCTGCAGAACCCTTGTCAACTCGTCATATCAGCCTTTCAGAAACCCCAGTCAAACCTGACGAAACCATTCTTGAGCAACCCCATAAGAACCTTTAACAGAAACACCTGCTTAATGCAGAGACGGCACCCCCGCCCTTCGTAGCCCTGGGCACACATGGGCGTCACCACCTGCAACCGTGACGAGAGCAAGTTTCGGGTATAGGGTTCGGGTTACCCTAAACCCTAAACCCTAAACCCCAGAGAGCCCAACGATACTCCGCACAAGGCCTCGACAAAGGGCCCTACAGGGTTTGGGACCCGTTTAACTATAATTATCATAAGGACCCCCCCCCCCCCCCAGAATAGTATAGGTAATAATTAAGGCCCCTATATTAGGGTAGGGAGTTTAGGATTTCTCCGGGTGACCGTTTAGGCTTGCAGGCTAGGTTTGGGTTGAGGGTTGAGGGCAGGAGCTTCCTGTTTAAGGGTGTTTAGGTTGTTGGGTGGTATGTGGCTGCAAGGTTTACTTGGAGGATCATGGGACTTAGTAAGAAGGGTTATAAGTACCTTAATGGGGTTATAAGTAACTATAACTGTAGCTACCTTAATTATAACCCCAACTACTAAGTCCCATGACCCTTCAAGTAGGTTTTAAGGCCAGTTTGGGGTCTTGAATTTCAAGCCCTACACCTGTGTGTGTGAACCCTTGAACCCTGATCCCCCTTTGCCCTCGCACCTTAAAGCCCTAAACCTCTCCAAGGGTAAAAGGAGGGACCCTCAATAAGGACCCCTAGGTATATATCCTTAATATAGATATTCATTATAGGGTAGGGGTCCCCATTAAGGGTCCCTCCTTTTCACCTTTTGATAAACCTCAAGCTCTAAGCCCCGAAACCCTATCTTAGGGTTTTGGGTTTAGGGTTTAGGGTTTTGGGTTTTGGGTTTTGGGTTTAGGGTTTAGGGATTCTCGCCTCGCGTTCATCCCTTCCTTTTGGCGAATCTTCTCGGCAGAAGGATCTCCACTACCCAAACTTGGGGAGGTATAAAATAGGGACCATGACAACTATCAATTATCCATACTATTTTGGGGGTTCCTTGTTGTAAACTATACATATAGTATAATATATATATATATGCCAAAACCCTATTGTAACTATTAAGGCCCCGATATTAGGCGGTATAGGGATTCGGGTTTCGGAATTAGGGTTTAAGGCAGTGCGACAAGAGCACGACTCTTCAAACACTATAGAACGCGAAAGTACTGGATTTTGCAATTTGGGCGCCGACGGTGCGGGAATGCGATTTCAATCAAAACCGCGCACCACCCCACAGCCAGCTTCCACCGGGGGCGCATCTCGCCTTTAGCAACCTACCTAGACCCCGATCCCTGGAGTAAGAACCCAAAACTTTTGCCACACTTTTTGGCAGATGAATCTTTCAGGAAGCGGTTTCAAATCAGTGTGTCATTGTCGGAATTCAAGCAAAATTACAACCAGTCTTTCTACGACTAGGCCGTCTGCAAACAACTCCTCTAAGACTCTAAAAGGCCTCATAGAGCCGTACTTAAGCCTAAAACTCTGCTTAGTCCCTCAAACCCCTAAACCCTCAAACCCAGAACCCTAACCCTACACGCCACAACCTCAAACCCAAAACCCTAACCCTAAACCCAGCCTGCATCCTAAACCCTAGCCCACACCCTAAGACCCTACATAAACCCTAAAGACCCTCAACCCTGAAAAACCCTGAACACCGCAATTTCTGCCCTAGATAGAACACCTGGACCCGCCACCCGGACACTCCGATATCTCTTTTTCAAAGAATATACCCTACATCATATTACGAATCTTACTAATAATCAGTTCTAAGGTAATGTGGAAACCTGATTAAGAAACCCTGGGCCTATAACCCAACAAAGCAGGATTCATATAAGGAACCCTAAGAAAAGGCCCAAGCTTTCTTAATCAAGCTCCTACATGATTATATCTTCCTTGATGAAGGGATATTGCCCGATCAAGGCCCCACCTGGACCGGCTTAGTCCCTCAAACCCTAAACCCTCAAGCCCCAAACCCTAAACCCTAACCCTAAATCCTACCCCTAGGGTTTAGGGTTTAGGGTGACCTCAGGCCCTGAACCCTAAACCCTGCAGCTTCTGCCCAGGAGCACCTACTTTGGGGGGCAGGAGACTCAGTAAGTAGGGTTATAAGTAGGGTTATAATTGGGGTCACTCCATTTCGGGTACATATAACTCTACTTATATCCTACTTACTAAGTCCCCTGCCCCTCCAAGCAGACCATAAACCCTGAACCCCATAGATCCATTTAAGGAACCCTATGGATCCCTTTAAGGAGCCCTTTAAGAGCCTGGACCGGCTCCCCCAACTTGGTGCTGGCATTCAGCTGACCGCCCGGGCATGCGCTGACACTGGGGCACCTGTAGGGCTTGGGACTGGGTTGTTCCTTAAAGGGGTCTATGGGGTTCCTTAAAGGGATCTATGGGGTTCCTTAAAGGGATCTATGGGGTTCCTTAAAGGGATCTATGGGGACTGGGTTTCGGAATTTAGGGTTAAAGGTTTAGGGTTTAGGGTTTAGGGGTTTAGGGGTTTAGGGTTTAGAGGTTTAGGGTTTAGGGGTTTAGGGTTTAGGGTTTAGGAGTTTAGGGTTTTGGGGTTTAAGGGTTTAGGGTTGAGGGTTTTGGGGCTTTTGTGTTTTACGGGCCCTTGTGTTCTTGCGTTCTTTCTTTCTCAACTGTGGTCTCGGTGTATGTTAAGGTACTAGCATAGAGGGGCTACGTAAAGGTTTCGGTTCAAAGGGTCGTGGGCTCAGGGGTTTAAGTTTGAGGTTTGAGGGTTTGGGGTGGAGGTTTAGCTCTTATAATAAGAACTACAACTCAAATCCTCAGATGAAGGTGTCTGAAGAAAACTCTGTTGACCAGGTATAATCATCAAACTCGTCAACCCCCCTATTGAAACCAAAGATATCCTTATAGAACCATGACAACCGCTCAAAACCCCAACTGCCCAATATAAAACCGTACCCCGTAAGAACCCGGGCAAATTCCTTACAAAACCAGCTGGCCTGAACCAATTTGAGAGGTTGTCGGCCGTGGAGTAGTTCAGCACGATCTGCAAGGTGAACCGTTCAGCGGATATCTGAACAAGGTACCCTGAAAGGAACCCACAAAGCCCTAGCTTAACCTACCCAAACCTACCTTGTTTGCAAGGTCCCCAGAAAATCAATAGTAGGACAAAAAATAAGAACCTAAAAGATTAGTAGATTATGGTAGTTTAGGGTATAGATCCCTTCAAGGGAGCGCTTAAAGGAACCCTTGAAGGAGACCGTACAGGAGCCCCTAAGGGACCCAGTAAGGCAATCATGAGACTTAGGCTCCAAGGTTCTACGGTTATACTAAGGGGCCTTACAGTAGAAGCCAGAAAGTTGGAATATCATTATCGTAACCCCTTTAAGGTAAATTATAAGGGATCCTACCATTAATCCATATTCCAACTTTCTGGAGTTCCCTTTAAGGGGCCTTAATAATCAGAATATGGTTTTGGTGTATCGGGTTTAGGTTTTAGGGTTTTGGGTTTAGGGTTTCGGGTTGTGTTTGCCTTTGTTCCTAATAACATGCCTTAAGCCATAGCAATAAAACCTAAACCATAATGCCGATCCCCTTTAAAATTTACATTCCTCAACTACAAAAATTTCTGGAGTCCCAAGAAAGCCGCACTTCGCATCTTCAGCCCTGTACCCTTCCTTAGAACCATCAGAAAAGTACTGTTTCTAATACCTTCATCCCACCTAAACCTGAACCCTGAATCAAACTATAACCCCCTAGAACCATAATAGAAATAATGGACAAATATTCTCTAGGGGTTTATATGAGCAAAAAAAATCCTAAGGAGACTATAGAGAAGGGGCTAAGGCTCCTGGGATCTGCCCGATGTCTGTGAAAACACCTAGCATGCTTTGGGGTCCTTGTGCTGCCTGGACTAGACTAGACTTAGGGTTTAGGGTTTAGGGTTCTTTAGACTATACGAACATGTACCATACGAGACTATACTGTGCTAGAGTTTTCTAGACTATGGAGCAAAGGTGTACCACTTTCTGGACTTTGACTCGCTGCACGGAGTCCGAGCGTCGCGAAAGATTAGGACATGTGACATTCCACATAACAAGGCAACACATGTACCTACTAGACTATACTATATACGACCGTTCTAAGATACAGCATACTATAGTCTAGTTGTTCTATGTTGTAGTACATGATAGCAGGCTATGCTATGCTATGCCTATCTACTCCACAACACAATGTACTGTAACCATCTCCAACCCACTACAACATCTATACTGGCGGTCTTTATCCAGATTTCACACCGGGACCAATAGGTTCAGTGTGTCCAAATAATGCATGTCATGCCAGTTTGTTGGCTCCTGCCAGTGCAGATGACACATCGCGAACATCATGCTGACCTGCCGCGCCAAGTATTTGACGTGTGCCGCCAAGAGCCGGGTGCACGTGTCCTCCTGCCAGCTGCTGTAGAGCCATGCCTCCACGAAGCGTGCACACTTCACATCCTGGGACAGCCCCAGACCAGCACCCAGGAGCCGAACCACGAACTTGCCCGTCGCACGTCCGATTGCATCCTCAGCCCTTTCATCATGAAAAGCACGGTGCATACGGTCCAGGTCCTTGTTTTCATGGCTGGCCTTGAACAAAGCCCACTTGTAGGCTGTTGTCTCCAGGTGGTCCCCGTCATTCCCTCAACGTTCGGCCAGCGTACCGTGGTCGGAGCCTCAAGCACTCACCCAGAGACCCCAATATCCTTGAATTAAAGAACATTCCCTGAGGGTTCCTTAAAGGGTTCCTTAAAGGGATCTATAAGGGTTCGACAAGGGAAGTAAGGAATATTCCTTAAATCATATTGGGGATCTTACTATAACTTTAATTGAGGGATATTGGAGTCTCTGGGCATGTACATGGTCCAGCGGTGCTACAGTTTACGCGCTGAACCCAGAGCCTAAACCCTCAAGCCCTAAACCCTTAAGCCCCTAAATTGCTGCACCGCTAAACCCTCAAACCCGTGAACCCTGAGCCCCAAAACCCCTAAAAAAAAGGGGCCTTAATAACTAGAATAGGGTTTGGAGGCCCGTTATATAATAAGTACTATAAGGAACCCCCCAAATAGTATTGGTAATGATTTAGGCCTCTAAATCCCTACACCCCTGTAACCCCAAAACCCTTATAGATCGAAGTAAAGGAAGCCTTATAGATCCTTGAAATAAACTCAAAAACCCTCCTGAGAGGAGGACCATGAATCCCCGCGGAACGGCAAGTTTCGTCGGCTCGCACTGCACCGTCACCTTTGGGCTGGGAGGCCGGGATGGGCGCACTGCCCAGGAATGTACAGAAACTATGTGTGTATATATATATATATAATATATATATATATGTATATACACACATATTTTTCTAAACATGTATGTACATATATATATATATTATAGAAGGAGCCTTCTTTTCATTGAAAGTCGAAAAGCCGACTTCTGAATCCCTACTTGGAGGATCATCGGACTTGGTAAGTAGGGTTATAAGTACCTTAATTGGGGTTCTAAGTAGTAGTAACCCTGTAACTATAGTTTCCCTACTTAAGCCCACGTACAACTACCCATGAACCTCCAAGTAGAGTCGTTGAGGCTGGGTTGAACCAGGGTTTCCTGCGCTTGGCTTGGGACTAGGGGGAGTAAAAGGCGGGGTTTAGTATCCTACTAGTAAGGGAAAGCGAAGGAGGGAATATAGGCACGACTAGATGGGATTATACAATAGGGATTTCGTGATTCAATCTTCCACTTCCCCTTAAGCACTAGTAAGGACTGTGGGCTTGGGAAGGTCCGGGTTTAGGCGGCTCAGAGGGTATGGCTAAGGGTTTAGGGTTTACTTGGAGGTTCATGGGTAGTTATAAGTGGAGTTATAAGTCCCTTAATACGGGTTATAGCTAGTTACCCTACTCATGAGCCCACTTATAACTACCCATGAACCAGTAGGGTGTCTAAGATCTAGGGCTAGGGGCCTTAAGGCTTAGGGCTTAGAGTTTGAGGTAAAGGATTCAGGGTTTATGGTTAAGGTTCAGGGTTTTTAAGGTCTAGAGCTGAGGGTTTAAGGTTTAGGGTCTAGCGTTTGAGGCATAGGGTTTAGGGTATATGATCTAGGCTTAAGGTCTAGGCTTGTGGTTTAAGGTTTAGGGTTTAGCAAAGAATATGCTGCATCTCACAAAATGTATGGGTGCTTATGCAGCCACGAACCAACCCAGACATCCCAACATCCCTTAAATCAGGGTCCCGGTGCTTGAGGCTTACGGTGAACGCCCCAGAAGCAAGCAAGCGACGTTGCTGATGCTCGGGCATGGAGTGCAGTTCGTGATCTGCAAAGTCAACCGCGCGGTTTCCTCCAGCTTGCGGGATTTATTAGGCCCTTATAAGGAAGTTAATCTGAGATACCTGACCTAGATAGCATTCTTCCTAAGTATGGTAGCTGATCTTGAGATATGTAACGCTGTAAGACACCCTTCCCAAACCTTGCGAAACCCGACGGGAACTTCGAACAAGCAAGCCGCGAGCTACAAGTCCCCTTCATCAAAGAAATCTCCCTTCAATTCTGGCAGGATTTAAAGATTAGAGTGAAGGGTTCACGATTCAGAGCTTTGAACTAATTTCGAACCCCAAACCATAAACCAGGATTTAAGCTTTGGAGAATTCGGTTTCCGCGTTCGGGGTGTGAGGACCCTCGGTAAGCGACTATGAACCCCGCACCCTAAACACCATGAACCCTGCACCCTAAACCCCTACAGTAGAAGCCAGAAAGTTGGAATATCATTATCGTAACCCCTTTAAGGTAAATTATAAGGGATCCTACCATTAATCCATATTCCAACTTTCTGGAGTTCCCTTTAAACCCAAGCCCTAAACCCCACCCTGAACCCTGTACAGACCCTAAGCGTCGAAGCCGAAACCTCCGACCCCAAAAAAATGGCTCTATAAACAATCCAGACCCCCGGGAGGATCCAAAAAGTAGATCCCTTAATGGGTGGTTTCTATAAAGTACCCTTAGTAGTATAAGGCCCCAAATTAGGGGATCTACTTTCTAGATCCTCCCGGGGGTCTGGGAAGTAAAGTGGCGATTAATAATTAGAACAGTGTTTGGGGGTATATCATACTAGACTATCATTATAGTAAGGAACCCCCAAAACCGCTATTCTAATTATTACGGCCTTTGCAGTATCCACAAGGAAACCCTCAACACGGAAACACAGGCGCAACCTAAACCCTAAATCCTGAAAACCCTAAACCCTGAGCAAACAAAGCCCCAACCTCTGAACGCGTAACCCGTAAACACTGAACCTTAAACCCCTAGCCCTAACCTTCCTGAACCAAACCCTAAACATTAAACCATTAGCCCTAAACCTTCTTGACACATATACGTTAAAATGTAGTAGGATCCCTAATATGATTTAAGGAATCTTCCTTAATTACGAGATATTGGAGCATCTAGGTTCCTGAACCCCAAAAACCCCAAGACTATACCCCCTTTAGAACCATAATACAAACTATATGCGCGCTATATTCTCTTGGGTTTTATATGACCAAAATTTTTGAAAATATAGTTCCTATATGACCAAAAATGAAAAAATAATTCCTAAGGAGACTATAGGAAGAAGGCCTCGGCGCAAGGGTGGCAGGAGACCGAGGGCGGGTCGCTCCACAGAGGGCCCATGCCACGACCGCAGGCGACGTTGCCGGAAGCCTACTTGTGGGGATTCGGGTTCCTTTAAGGGGCCCCTTTAAGGGATCTGTAGGGGTACTATAGGGGTTTAGGGTTTGGGGTCTAGTAATTGGGGTTCCTTTAAGGGGGTTCCTTTTAAGGGATCTGTAGGGGTACTATAAGGGTTTAGGGTTTAGGGTCTACTTAAAGGATCATGGGACTTAGTAATTGGGGTTCCTTTAAGGGGGTTCCTTTTAAGGGATCTATAGGGGTTTTATAAGGGTTTAGGAGGCTTCATGAAGGATCATGGGACTTAGTATTTGGGGTCCGTAGTTAAAGGGTCCCTTAAAGGGACCTGTAGGGGTCGTATAGGGGTTTAGGGTTTAGGGTCCACTTGAAGGATCATGGGACTTAGAAATTGGGGTTCTACGTAAGGCAACTACAGTTATGATTACTTATGACCCCAGTTAAGGTACATATAACCCCACTTACTAAGTCCCATGATCCTCCAAGTATTTGTGGGGATTAGGGTTTCGGCTTTGGGCTTGAGGGTTTAGGGTTTGCGGTTGAGGGTTTGGGGATTAGGGTTTCGGCTTTGGGCTTGAGGGTTTAGGGTGTGGGGTTGCGGGTTTAGGGTTTTGGGTTTGGGGTTAGGGTTAGAGAGAGAGAGAGAGAGAGAGAGAGAGAGAGAGAGAGAGAGAGAGAGAGAGAGAGAGAGACAGAGAGTGACAATTACAAAGCTCCTTGAACCGCCACAGATCGCAGACCCTAAACACTGAAAGTTTGTTAAACCCTAAACCCCAAAGCCGATGCTTCCCCAGAGAACCCAATACCCCTTAATTAAGGAATATACCTTAAAATCATATTAGGGATCCTATTAAATATAATTCGAGGTATATTCCTTAATTAAGGAATCTACCTTAAATTATAGGGGCCTTACTACTATGAGTTCATGCATATTCCTTAATTAAGGGGTATTGGGTTCTCTGGGTCGCCCAAGCCCGACAAGAGGCCACTTCCGCCGCTTCCAGACGGCAATCCGGTGCGTCGAGGCAGTCTACGTCTCCTTTTCGGGCTTTGGGGGGGAGTTAGCGGTTTTTTTGGGGTTTTTGTTGAAAGGTTTAGGGTTTTTTAAGGTTTCGGGTTTTGGGGTTTAGGGTTTTGGGGATTAAGGGTTTGGGGTTTAGGGGTTTAGGGGTTTAGGGGTTTTAGGGGTTTTAGGGACTTTGGGCGAGTACGGTTTGGGGTTTAGGATTCGGCAGCTGCAGATCGAACATTCTACAGTCGAGATCGCCACTTTGGCATCACCTTAAGCCCCCAAACTTAAGCCTGAAACCGTAAACCCAAACAACCTGGGCCCCGATTAAACCCGAAGCCCCGAAACCCTAGGCCCTACCTTAACCTACCAAAACCTACAAAAAAGTAGGGTCCCTATAAAGTCCATATTAGGGTTTGTAATAAGAACCTACAAAAAAGTAGGGTTTGGTAGGCTAAGGTAAACCCTAGGCCCTAAAACTTAGGCCGTAGCCAAGCACCACTGGGCCAACACGAAAGATGATGTGAGCAGTGTAGAGCCAATAACTTGCCAAAGCACACAAAATAACACGCACAAAAAAAGCTTCACTATGTATCATAGTTATTATTATTATTGGAACACTATGCTTTGTTTTGTTCATTATTTTTATTTAATGTTAGACGTTAGAGAAAGGTCGTTCAATCGAGAAGTAGAGGCGACTTCTCGTTCCGTTTTGGCTGCGACATGTGGTGCCTGGGTATCCGAGGAAGCAGCGGCTGGTATAAATCCTGCATGACCTCAAGGACCCAAAACTATGGGAATTATGGTATACTACTTATTAGGGGTAATGCAGGATTTATATCATCAACCGAAGCAGCGGCAGTTTGTTGCAAAGGTTGGCCACAAGCCCTCGAACGCGTGGGTGGTGCAGGAACGAAGCGTCCATCCTGAGCATCCCCAGGAGTGTTCTCCACCGATAAGTAGTTATAACCCATATTAAGGGACTTATAACTCCACTTATAAGTACCCATGAACCTCCAAGTGTTCTCCACCGCCCATACTTGGAGGATCATGGGACTTAGTAAGTAGGGTTATAGGTACCTTCATTGGGATTATAAGTAAGTATAAAAATCTTTCCTTACTTCTAGCCCCAGTTACTAAGTCCCATGAACCTTTAAGTAGCTTGGTACTGGACGTGTTCTGAAAGTTCCATTGAAATTGGCACTTCTAAGCAGGGAGTGCTCGATCTCCGACTAAGCGAAAATGCGTAGCTGGGAAACAACGCAGAACAACAACAAACTCCGCATGCAGATGGCCAATGCCAAGATGGCAACATGCGAGAAAAAACACGCTTGAGCGCGCCGTGCGGGAGGAGTCTCATCAAACTGTGTTGGGACCCACTGCCAATCAAATTGAACATCACCCGCATGATCCTTACAAACCTCCTCAGAAACAACACGCTCTAAACCCTAAGCCCTAAGCCCCAAGCCCTAAACCCGAGAAACCCCCTAGAAACCCCAAACACTAGAAACCCCAAACTTTAGAAACCCTAAACCCTGGAAACCATAAACCCCTAAACTGCTAAACCCTCAACCCCTAAACCCTAAACCCTCAACCCCTAAACCCTCAACCCCTAAACCCTGACTCAACCCTAAACCCTCAACCCTAAACCCTCAACCCTAAACCTTCAACCCTAAACCCTCAACCCTCAACCCTAAACCCTAAACCCCTAAACCCTAAACCCTCAACCCTAAACCCTGAACCCTCAACCCCTAAACCCTAAACCCCTAAAGCCCTCAACCCTCAACCCTATTAAACCCCTCAACCCCTAAACCCCTCAACCCTAAACCCCTCAACCCCTCAACCCCTCACCCCTTAACCCTCAACCCTAAACCCCAAACCCCTAAACCCTAAACCCCTAAACCCCTCAACCCTCAACCCCTCAACCCCTAAACCCCTCAACCCCTCAACCCTATACCCCTCACCCCTAAACCCTGATCCCTAGACGGAGCCTGTTTCGATGCGGCCTGCGGATACCGCCCGCATGCCCGTGGAACCATGGAGGGTTAGATCTCCGACGATGGCCTTGCTGACTAGGGCTTAGGGGTTTAGGGGTTTAGGGATTTAGGGGTTTATGGTTTAGGGTTCCTTAAAGGGATCTATGGGGTTTAGAGGTTTAGGGGTTTACTTGGAGGATCATGGGACTTAGTAAGCAGGGTTACATCTACCTTAATTGGGGTTATACGTCATTGTAACTGTAGTTACCTTACTTATAACCCCAATTACTAAGTCCCATGAGCCTTTAAGTAGGGTTTACGGGTTTAGGGGTTTAGGGTTCCTTAAAGGGCTCCTTAAAGGGATCTGTAGGGTTCCTTAAATGGATCTATGGGGTTTAGGGTTTAGGGTCTACTTGGAGGGGCAGGGGACTTAGTAAGTAGGTTATAAGTAGGGTTATACTTGGGGCAACTCCATTTAGGGTAGTTATAACTCTACTTATAACCTACTTACTAAGTCCCCTGCCCCTCCAAGTAGGGTTTAGGGGTTTAGGGGTTTAGGGTTCCTTAAAGGGTTCCATAAGAGATTTAAAAGGGCTTCAGGAGTTTAGGACTTGCTGCTTTTAGTGGTTTAGGGTTTTGGGTTTAAGTTTGGGGTTTGGTGTTGAGGGGTTTAGGGCCGTGCTGACACGCTCCGGGTCGAGATTTTCGGCTTGAAGGGTTTAGGGCTTTCGGGCTTCAGGGCTTAAGGCTTAATGCTTAAGATTTTAACAAGGATCTGTACGGGTCTTATGAATCGTTTATCCTGTTTCTGCGGTACTGAACTGGGAGCCATAAGCCCCGCAGGATTTAGCTGAAAACCTCAACCCCAAGGGCAAAAGGAGGGACCCTTAATAAGGACCCCTAGGTATATACCCTTAATATAGCCATTATATACCCATTATCTAGCCCATTATATGGTAGGGGTCCCCATTAAGGGTCCCTCCGTTTCCCCTTTGACTAAACTAAACCCTAAACCCTAAACCCTATAGATCCCTTTAAAGGGACCCTTATAGATCCCTTTAAAGGAACCCTAAGAGCCTAAGGGTCCCTCCGTTTCCCCTTTGATCAACCCTGAACACAGAACCCCGAGACGAACCCGAATGCAGCCCCTCAGTTGGGGCCCCAAAAAAGCACATAAGCAAAAATTAGGGTAGGGACGTCCCATATAAATCCCCTTATAATGAAGCCCAATAAGGTAGGGATATCCCCATAAAATGCTTATGCTTATGTGCTTTTTGGGTCCCTGATTAGTCTACGATGTTGCAAGGGCTTCTGTGTTTTATGTTGGGTACGGCCCCCATACAGTAAGAGTCTATAGTAGGGCTACTATTGAGGTCCTACTATATCTATATTATGAATGTTCTTCAACTATTACTGAGTGGGGGCCGTACCCAAGTTTTATGTGTGTGCGCTGTCTTCGTAATCCCTTCCCCCTAATATTAAAGGCCCCCCTCCCCCTCCCCCTAATGTGAAAAAGCTAGTGCCGGATTTGTTTTAATGGGAGGGTTCGGGGCATCCGGGTGTGAGCCGGATTGTTCTGGCTGTAGAGCAGACAGTCCCGCCCTAAGCCCTAAACCTTGGGCCCCAAACCCTAAAGCCCTAGCCCTAAAGCCCGAAAGCCCTAAAGCCCTAAGCCCAGACCCCTGAACCTTTAGCCCGATAAGCCCCAAACCCAAAACCCCAAAGCTCTGCTCCTTTCGGTTTGATAATACTGCTGCAGTCTTGGCTCTATCAAAGCTAACCCTAAACAAAAAAATCTAATACAATCCTAGTACAATCCTCGGCCCCCCTAATGTTTTTGATTAACTTTCAATTGTGAGCGCGAAACCGCGAAATTTCGGGGGCCGGTAATATTCATATTTGGGGGGTTGATATCAGGGGAAGGGATTAAGACTTGCTATGGCATCCTAGCCCCTAAATCCTACGGTTTAGGATACGTGGTTTCTTACACATGGTGCTTACCAAGACGGTCGAGAAAAAAAAACTGTTCATGATTATTGAAGCTTCTATATGGGTAATTGTCAAAATTAGGGTCCCTTTTTGGGTACCCTAAACCCTAAATTTTAGCTGCTGTATTATATTAGGGACCCAAAAAAGGGGCCCTAATTTTGACAACCACCCATATGGGAGTTTCCGAAAATAGGGGACCTAATATAGTACCCTAAATAGTAGGATCCTTATTATAGGGACCCCAAAATAAGGTACCCCTAATTTTCAGAAACTCCCATATAACAGCAAGCGAGGCACACCCCCCAGGGCCATGAACGCGGAGGACGCCGGGGCATAGCAGTCGGTGAACGTCGCAGCATCTAACCTTGGCTGACTTCTGAACCCCTCCTAAAAGTTAAACTTTTAGCCTAATTATTATAGTTCATATAGACACACAAAAGTTAAAGTCTAAAGAGTCAACCAGAAGAACGCCAAGTAACTGAAGGTTTCCCCTCAAAGACATGGCTCCGCCAGTTCCCGAAGCATGGCAGCTCCTCATGACCTGACAGGGCTTTTAAGTTTTAGGGTTTAGGGTTGGAGTTCTTAGCGCTCTTAGGGGAGCAGGGTTTGGTGTTCTGGTAGAGACATGAGGGCTTAACTCGCTGTATTTTTTGGCCCATAAAACTACCTATGAACAGGTACCTCTGTAGGAAGCATCTGTAGGAACCATAACGGAAATGCCTAAACTCAAAAGACCCTAAACCCTCAACGCTCAACCCTACACCCTAAACCCTACACCCTCAACCCCAAACCCTACACTCTAAGCCCTAAACCCTAAGCCCTAAACCCCAAACCCTACGCCCTAAACCCTAAACCTCAAACCCTACACCCTACACCCCAAACCCTCAACCACCATCTCAACCACCCCAAAACCCTTAACCCTAAACCAAAGAGCCACCTAGTTGCGGGTGAGGATGCGAGAAACTCCCGAGCTGCCGGTTTCAGGCTTCGGGTGTTACGGCTGATGATATAAATCCTGGGGTCCCTTTAGAGGGATCTATATAGGGTGCTTTTAAGGGGCTCCTTTAAGGGAGTTTTTGTAGGGTTTTAGGGTTTAGGGTTTATGATAAAAATCCTGCATTACCTTCATGACCCTAGACTATTCCTTGTTATGGGTCATGCAGGATTTATATAGCTTCAACCGTAGGTTTCTTGGTGCTCAGGGCTTAGGGTTTAGGGTTTACTAAACCCTAAACCCTAAGCACCAAGCCCTAGACTTTAAGGCCTGGTGTGTAGGGTTTAGGTTGTGGGGGTTTAGGGTTTGGGGTGTTTAGGGCTTAGGGTTTAGGGTTTGGGGGTTAGGGTTTGAGGCTTAAACGAATCCCGGTAATGTAGGAACCTGACTAAGAAAACCTGGGTCCTTACTAGGATTCCTTATATGAGTCCTAAAATATGGGGGTTATGGGGCCAGGGTTTCTAAATCAAGTTCCAAGATTATGAGTGTTTTTTGGTGTTGTTGTGGTGGTTGTTCGCTGCGGGCGCGTGGTGCGTTCTTTTCTTGCTGCGGGTGTGCGACATGCTTTTTTGCTGCGGGTGCGCGTGCGCGGCTTCTGCTGCGGGTGTGGGGTGCGTGCATTTTATGGGGCGGGTGGCGGACGTGCCCGTGTTTGCGAATGTGGGCGCCCCGCCCTGGAGCACCCACTGCAAAAAAAGGCACCCACATCAAACAAAGAACACAGGTTCCAACGAAGCCCTACTTGGAAGGGCAGGGGACTTAGTAAGTAGGTTATAAGTAGGGTTATAATTGGGGTAACTCCATTTAGGGTACTTATAACTCTACTTATAAACTACTTTCTAAGTCCCCTGCCCCTCCAAGTAGCCACGGATTGTCATGCAGCTCTTAGAACTGCGCATCTAGCGGAACTTGCCTGAAGCCTGAGGTACTGCTGCCGATGGACTCGATCCTGCAATGCCTTCCCAGAGACTCCAATATCCCTTAATTAAGCAATATATTCCTTAAATCATATGTGGCATCCTACTATAACTTAAGGTATATTCCGTAGCTAAAGGATATTGGAGTCTCTGGGTTAAGTATATAGTCTAACCAAACCCCAACAAGAACGAGACCTAGAGCCCCCTCTGTATGGATCCAGGTCGTGTCTTTCTCATACTTGGAGGATCATGGGACTTAGTAAGTAGGGTTATAAGTCCCTTAACTGTGGTTATAAGTAGCTAGAACTGTAGTTACCTTACTTATAACCCTACTTACTAAGTCCCATGATCCTCCAAGTAATAATCCATGTCGTGGAGCCTTTCGAAGGTTGGCGACCCAAACCCCAACCCTAAGCCCCAAAGCCTAAACCCTACGGGTTGATGAGATAAATCCTGCATTACCTTAATGACTCTAGACTATGGGATTTATGGTATCTTCCCTATTATGGGTAATGCAGGATTTATATCATCATACCGTATTTTTATAATTAAGCCCCTAAGCCCCAGCCCAAAGCCCTAAACCCTAAGCCAAGCAGCAGTGGGGCCGCTAACATTCAAATCCCGCTTCACGAAGATGCACCCACCTCGTCGTTACCAGATAGATTCAGTAGGGTTGCAGGTGTTCGTGAAGTTTAGGGTTTGGGGTTTAGTAGGGTCCGTGTAAGCCAGGAATATCCCTTGAATCCTACACGCATTCTTTAATGAGGGACCCTCGATTAGGGCTTTTGCAGTTGATGGGTTTGCGCTTGGGATCTAGTTTCTACAGGTTGGCCACGTTCAGGGTGTGAGGGCGTGGGATGGCCTACGTCTTTTTCTCGGAGACTCCAATATCCTTCAATTCAGGATTAACCCCACTAGGGATCCTATTATGTCTTACTCAATATTCCTTGCTAAGGGATATTAAAGTCTCTGGGTTTACCATGGTAGATAGTTAAAATAGCTGGGCTTTGACGTAACCATGAGAAACAAGCATGAACTGTGATTTCGTAATGGTCTCCTTCAAGAACAGGTACCAAACACCTATTCAAGCATGCTACTCACGAATACAGGTAGGAGAATTGACACTTGGAATGGGAATATGCGGCACAATACAGTACAAGCCATTTGAACCCTTAGGGATAGTGTTGGTGTATTTTTCAAACTTATATATCAACACCATTGAAGCCTTATAGAAACCCTTATAGCGCCCTGAAAAAGAAACCCTTGTACTATGAGAGCCTAGGGCGGAGCTTCGGGTTTGCTTCTACCTCCCTCCGTTTATCAGAAGGATGAAGACTGCCTCTCAACACCCTTAGGGTCCACGGTTTAGGGTTGAGGGCTTAAGGTTTAGGTTTTAGGGTTTAGGGCATACCCGCCTTCTGCTGCCTCTGCTGCGAGTAGGTGGAGGCCATCTTCGAAGATCGCATCGTGCCCAACGAAGATCCTTGGATGGTTTGTCTCCCTAATTCTTAGCAATTAGGGAACGGGGGAAGGTGTTATTTTTATGGGGACTACTATAAGGGCATGGGGTTCTTAGCAGGGAATGGGGGAAGAGGCTGTTGTGTTTAGGGTTCACGGTACTATAACGGACCCCAACGACTATCATAGGGATGCATTGCCCCATTCCCTTCTAGGTTTAGGGTTTACGGTTTAGAGTTCAGGGTTTAGGATTCTAAGAGCCACGGGGTTGCGCTGCTACACTCCGTGCGCTTGCGCAGGCCAACGCCCAGGGCTCCCCGCAGTTAGAGGATCATGGGACTCAGTAGGTAAGGCTAGAAGTACCTTAATTTGGGTTATCAGTAGTTAGGGTCCTAAATAATTGTGTATGCTCTTTCGGATGTCTTTATTTCTAATTGTTAAGGCCCCTATATTATATAGCCGCCCAGTATGTTACTTCGTTGCCAGACTTATAACCCTAGCTACTAACCGTCGTGATCTTTAAGTATCTGAAATTCAGCCAGAGCTTCTTCGCTCTTCCGTAACACTCCAAATAGCCCCAAAAAGTTGGTTAGTAGCATAGAAGCCATCAAGACTTGTATATCTGAAATCTACTTAAAGGATCATGGGACTTAGTAATTGGGGTTATAACTAAGGTAACTACAGCTATAATTACTTATGACCCCAATTAGGGTACTTATAACCGTACTTACTAAGTCCCCTGATCCTCCAAGTAGAGTTTTACTGTCATGTCTACCTGCCGGCTTTAGGGAGAGTTTAGGGTTTAGGGAGCTTTTAGCAGCGTCTAAGTACCCTCAATGGGGATGTAATGAACCCTGCACCGTGGCTGCCTTACCCTACAAACTGTAGGGGCCATGTCGACCTCAAATGAACCCGAAACCCAGTATCTTACTCTGCACCCTAAGCTCTACTTGGGGGTGGGCAACTCCATTCAGGGTACATATAACTCTACTTATAACCTACTTACTAAGTCCCCTGCCCCTCCAAGTAGACCCTAAACACGAAATTCTCAGCCCCTGCCCTGACAAACTGTCTAGGGTACTATATTGGGGTCCCCTACATTCGGAAACTCCCATTTTCCTTTGAATCAATTTAGGAATCCTATGGTTTAAGGCATATTTCTCAATTAAGGACTATCGGTGTCTGTGGGTTTGAGAAAGCTTTCGGATAGGTCAAAGCTTCGCTCCGCCCCGGTCGAGAACTTTGGTGTTCTCGATCTTCATGCGCGCCCACCTGGGTTGTAGCTTCGGGGTCCTCGTAGGTACCTCTATAGGAACGTAAAGGAAAATTTCAAGCAAACAATGGCCCTAAACCTAAACCCTAACCAACTCCTAAAGCCTAAACCCCAAACCCCAAACCCTGAACCCTAAGCTCCCTGAAGCCTAAACCCCAAACCCCAAACCCCAAACGGCTAAACCCTGGCCCACCCTCCACGGAAGCCTCACAAGGTTGGATGAAGGTAGGTGGGATTAAGGATCCCTTATATAAGGACTCTTATTTGGGAGTTTCCGAAAATGGGGGTACCTTATTTTGGAGTCCTTATAATAAGGATCCTACTATTTAGGGTACTATATTAGGGTCCCCTATTTTCGGAAACTCCCATTTGGGAATATCCCACCTACCTTCATCCTACCCTTTGAGGCCCCCGACCCTCCACGGAGGCTTCCATTGGCAACGTAGATGGCGCCTGGACGGGGTGTTGGGGGTTCAGTGTTCGGGGACTTACTTGGAAGGGCAGGGGACTTAGTAAGTAGGATATAAGTAGAGTTGTAAGTACCCTAAATGGAGTTACCCCAATGATAACCCTACTTATAACCTACTTACTAAGTCCCCGGCCCTTCCAAGTAGTGGATGGCTAATTTAGAGGGTTATGCGCTGTAAGAGTCTAGTGGTTAGGGTTTAGGGTTTACAAGTATGCCCCGAAACTGCGTCGATCTCTAAACTTTAAACCCTTACATCCTAAACCCTTAAACTCGAAACCCTGAACCCTAAACCCTAAAACCTAGGCCTTACATCCTAAACCCTTAAATCCGAAACCCTGAACCCAAAGCCCGAATGTGCTAACCAGAACTTCTTAGGTGCCGAGTTCATAAGCCAAAAAAAGTTTAAACTTTCAGTTTTAAGAGGGTTTCATTATCCCAAAAAGTTTATAAAGTTTATGAACTCAGCTACTAAGACTTCTGAAAGAAACGCTACCCGGGCCTCCAGAAAGCCGGCAATCGCAGTGGTTGATCCGAAGCCTGGGGTGTCTTGTTGAGGAGTTTAACTTAGAAGCTGCCCCCACCCTGTAATAGTGACTATAAGGATTATATAGGGTTATAGTAAGGGCCCTACTATATTCCTATTATACCACTATTACAGGGTGGGGGCAGCTTCTAAAGTTTAACTTAACCCACTTGTCGGGTATCATGGGGAACTATTGGGGTTTAGGGGGAAAGGACCCGAAAGACATCTGTAGGCTTTAGGGTTTAGGGTTTAGACTTTAGGGTTTAGGGGTTTAAGGGTTAGGGTTTAGGCTTTAGCCTAATTGTCGGGTATCATGGGGAACCAACGGTTAACCTTTTTGGTTATATAGGGTTTATATGGGGACTATACTACCCCAAAAAGGTTAAAGGTTACCTACTCTACTGCTAGGTTAAGTTGTGGTTTAAGGTTTAGGGGTTAAGGTAAAAGCCAGAAAGTTGGAATATGATTATCCTAACCCTTCTGTGGTAAATTATAGGGTATTTTATGATGAAATTATATTTGAACTTTCTGGAGATCCCTGTAGGGTCTAAGGTTTAGGATTCAGGGTTTTGGGGTCTAAGGTTTAATTTTTAGGGCTTTCACAGGGGCCATAAAGAGGAATCCGATTGGCTTAAGTCAACATGACCAGGACAGCATATAGTTTGAGCTGCCATGATCGATATTTGTAGTATGTAGTAACGAAGCCCCATTATTTACTATATCCCTATGGCGTATGGACAAAAACCTGCATGACCAGCAGAACGAAGAACATGACATGTTCACTGGCTCGCTCTCCGCGCCCTCTTATGTCAATGTTGATGAAGCACATGCGTGACGCAGGATTTCGTCCATGCACACGCCTGCCTTGTTCGAGAGCTGACTGAAATCCATATTAAGATTGGGTTTGGAACGAATGGGTGGCAGCAGAAAAGCAATGCAGGGTTTCGTCCATCAAGAGCAGCATAATCACTGAAACTTAAATTTCCCCCAGACCCTAGACCCTAGACCCTCAACCCTAAGACCCTAAACCCCTAAACCCCCAAACCCCTAAACCCCTAAACCCTAGACCCCTAAACCCCAAACCCCTAAACCCCTAAACCCTAGACCCTAGACCCTCAACCCTAAAACCCTAAACCCCTAAAACCCTAAAACCCTAAAACCCTAAACCCTAAAACCCCCAAACCCCAAACCCCTAAACCCCTAAACCCTAGACCCTAGACCCTCAACCCTAAAACCCTAAACCCTAAACCCTAAACCCTAGACCCTCAACCCTAAAACCCTAAACCCTAAACCCTAGACCCTAGACCCTCAACCCTAAAACCCTAAACCCTAAACCCTAGACCCTAGACCCTAAACCCTAAAACCCCCAAACCCCAAACCCCTAAACCTCTAAACCCTAGACCCTAGACCCTAAACCCTAAAACCCTAAACCCTAAAACCCCCAAACCCCTAAACCCCTAAACCTCTAAAACCCTAACTAAACCCTAAACCCCCAAACCCCCAAACCCCTAAACCCTAGACCCTAAACCCTCAACCCTAAAGCCCCCAAACCCCCCAAGCCCCCCAATAAGAACCCGGAAGCTCCCCGCCGGAGGCATTGAGATCGCCGCCAGGTCTTATCGCTAGGCCACCTTGATAGGCGGTTTAGGGTTTAGGGTTTAGGGTTTAATAGGGTTTAATAGGGTTTAGGGTTTAGGGTTTAGGGTCTAGGGTTTAGGGTTTAGGGCTTAGGGTTTAGGGTTTAGGGTCACCTTGATAGGCCCAGAGACTCCAATACCCCTTAATTAAGGAGTATACCTTAAATTATATTAGGGATCCTTAATATGATTTAAGGAATATTCCTTAATTAAGGGGTATTGGAGTCTCTGGGGGGTTGATAGGGTTGAGAGTTTAGGGCTTAAGGCTTACTTGGAGGGGCTTTGGGGACTTAGTAAGGGCTCTTACAGGGCTCCTTAAAGGGATCTATAGGGTTCCTTAAAGAGTTCTTTAAAGAGATCTAGTAAGGGCTCTTAAAGGGCTCCTTAAAGGGATCTATAGGGTTCCTTAAAGAGTTCCTTAAAGAGATCTAGTAAGGGCTCTTAACGGGCTCCTTAAATGGATCTATATAGGGTTCCTTAAAGAGATCGATCGAGTTTAGGGCTTAGGGTCTTACCTGGAGGGGCAGGGGACTTAGTAAGTAGGATATAAGTAAGGTGACTACAGCTATAGTTTTTTATAACCCTAATTTAGGTACTTATAAGCCTACTTACTAAGTCCCATGATCCTTTAAGTAGGGTAGGGTTTAGAGTTCAAGGTCTAGGGCTTTTTTTGTGTGGTTCAGGGCTTCGGGGCTTAGAGTTTAGAGTCAAGAGCTTGGATGTAAATCTAAGACTTTCTTGGCTTATCAAGCTCCATAGGATTTTGGATCTCGAGTTTTGGTGGTACGGGGAATATAGGAGCCGTAATACATAATAAGAACAGGTGTTTGGGATACGGGGTTTATAGAGTTTCATGTAAGGGGCCTCAAATATCAGAACATGGTATCCTTTCAGACTTCCGAGAGGGTCTTATAGTCAGCTTACGGAAATCGCAGGGTCGAAGTGCGGGTTTTGGAGTTTTGAGTGTCGTGACAGCTTACAAGGGTTTTACTATGCTTTGCAGATGCTCTTTACATAGGGGCTCTAAAATGGTTTTATGACAACCAAAACTGCTAACTTAAAGGTAAAGTCGGTGGCAGTGCATAAATCCGCGCGCACACACGCACAAAGCAAACCAGGAAATGCTAAAACCCCGCAAGCCCACCTCCAGATCCTCCGCTTGAAAGGCCTGTGAGCAGTACATGTCCCCCGCGCTGCACGAAGCCTGCAGCACTTATTCCACCTGCCAGGTCTGCACCGCTGCAAACGAAAACTAGTTCGTTCTGCTTGGAGGATTACGGTAATTGGTGTTGTAAGTAGCTATAACTACCGCTGCCTTGATGATTTTGGTATGTCGTTATCTGGTTGACATGTGGGGGCTTTAATGATTAGCGATAAAGTTCTCGCAGGGAATACTATAGTATAGGGATATGGGGACTTCAAGGTAATCATATTATGATGTATTTAGGCTTCTATGGCATGGATTTCTATTGAGGTTTCATGTAGAGATCAGAAGATGGCATGTTTGTCCTGTGCTGACCAAGAAACGTCAGTCGTTTCACTAATCCTTTGGTTTGGGGTTTAGGGTTTAGGGTTTAGGATTAAGGGGACCCTTGGGGATATGGACCCTCTCAGTAAGGTCTCTTTTAAGGGCGTCATAAGTAGGGTTAAGTTAAGATGGGTCCCCCTTTAAGGGGTTTCCCGAATACTACCTGGGATCTTGGAAGCCAGCGACTCTGTGTTTCTTGTAGTATCCTTAAGGGAGGGGGGTCCAAGGGGGGTATATAGCCTAGTGATCCCTAATTCTCCCTAGTACTCCCTAAGGTTCCCTGACAGTCCCCCTAAGGATTCCTTATATACCCTCCCCCCTCCCTAAACCCTAAACCCTAAACCCTAAACTAAGCGAGGGGCCGAAACCGTCGAACGACAGGCCCCGAGCGCTCTGGCCGAGGGCCTAACAGCCCGAGCGCCCCTACGAAAAGAGCGGGACGCGGAGAGGGGAGGGTAAAGCCTCCCCGGTCTGACCTGCACAGGTCAACGGTGTAAAGCCCATGGCAAACCCCAACGGGAAGTCTTCGAAATGAGGGACCGCCGTATCGGGACCACCTCTAGCGTAGCTATATAATAACCCCAAACCGTGGGCCATTTGCTCTGGTCCCCCTTTTTTGGGTTAGGATTTAGGATTTAGGGTTTAGGATTTAGGATTTAGGATTTAGGATTTAGGCTCTAGGGTTTAGGATTTAGGATTTAGGATTTAGGATTTAGGGTTTAGGATTTAGGATTTAGGATTTGGGGTTTAGGATTTAGGACTCAGGATTTAGGGTTTAGGATTTAGGATTTAGGGTTTAGGATTTAGGATTTAGGATTTAGGGTTTAGGATTTAGGATTTAGGATTTAGGATTTAGCCTCCGGAAATTTGGATTTTTGCTGGTGATTTTCAAGTGACAAATTCTGTTCATAAAATGTGCCTTTTAGAGAAGGCCGGTTGCGAATCTCGAGGTCCCCTCCTTTCTTTTCTTGTGGCTGCTCTTAAGCTTCCGGATTTCAATATTTAGTCGCGCTTGTCCTTTTCCGAAAAGGACAACCAGCTCTAAAATCTAGATTTAGGATTTAGGATTTAGGGTTTAGGCTCTAGGATTTAGGATTTTAGGATTTAGGGTTTAAGCTTTAGGATTTAGGATTTAGGATTTATGATTTAGGATTTAGGGTTTAGGATTTAGGATTTAGGATTTAGGATTTAGCCTCCGGAAATTTGGATTTTTGCTGGTGATTTTCAAGTGACAAATTCTGTTCATAAAATGTGCCTTTTAGAGAAGGCCGGTTGCGAATCTCGAGGTCCCCTCCTTTCTTTTCGTGTGGCTGCTCTTAAGCTTCCGGATTTCAATATTTAGACTAGGATTTAGGATTTAGGATTTAGGTTTTAAGGTTTAGGATTTAGGATTTAGGATTTAGGATTTAGGGTTTAGGGTTTAGGATTTAGGATTTAGGATTTAGGATTTACGGTTTAGGATTTAGGATTTAGGATTTAAGATTTAGGATTTAGGATTTTGGAGTTAGGATTTAGGTTTTAGGGTTTAGGATGTAGGATTTAGGATTTAGGATTTAGGATTTAGGATTTAGGGTTTAGGATTTAGGATTTAGGATTTAGGGTTTAGGATTTAGGATTCAAGATTTAGCCTCCGGAAATTTGGATTTTTGCTGGTGATTTTCAAGTGACAAATTCTGTTCATAACATGTGCCTTTTAGAGAAGGCCGGTTGCGAATCTCGAGGTCCCCTCCTTTCTTTTCGTGTGGCTGCTCTTAAGCTTCCGGATTTCAGTATTTAGTTGCGCTTGTCCTTTTCCGAACCAGCTCTAAAATCTAGTTTTAGGATTTAGGATTTAGGGTTTAGGATTTAGGATTTGGTGTTTAGGATTTAGGATTTGGAGTTTAGGATTTAGGATCCAAGATTTAAGATTTAGGATTTAGGGTTTAGGATCTAGGAACCAGCTCTAAAATCCAGATTTTCCAAAGCTGTCAAACGATAAGGTTAAAGGGCCGAGCCGGCCCTGCAATGCCGAAGGCCCGAAAAGGGCCGAGGCTACTCCCATCCGTTGCCTAAGCCACAATTTAAACAACTGGAACGTTCATGGGTGCAAAAATATAAAAGCCCCTCTTGATAGGGGGGTTGGGGGGTAGAAACCCTAAACCCTAATAGAGTATAGTTTGGGTGGCCGGGGTGGGTTTACGAGCAACGCGAGCGCGCGGCCCGGGGTGCTTCACACCCGAGCGCGCGACTTCGCCTGCCACACCCTAAACCCTAAACCTTAAACCCTAAACCCTAAACCCTAAACCCTAAAACCCTAAACCCTATACCCTCCCCCCTTGAACCACCCTCCCTTAAGGATCATATACGTTTCGGAGTTCAGGTTGCGATTTTGGGAAAGTAGGGATACCTATAAGAGAACCCTTGCAGAACCTACCTCATGAAGCCCTGAGAAGCCCATAGAAAACTGACTCCCTGAAAAAGCAAAACCTCAAACCCCAGAAGAGAAGTACTCCACCTTAAACACGTCGACGTTTTGGGGCTCCGGAAAACATCAAATCCTACTGAAGATCACTGTAGGCATTAACGGATGTGCGTGTGAAGAGTCTATATACACGGTTTCCAAAGGCATACAGAACCATCCAACACCATATCACTTACGGACGGCTATCGGCAGTAAGGTGTGCGACGTTGTATTTGGGGTCGCTTGTGCCGCCTCCCTCGTTGTTTTCAACTTAAACTTAGGTGCCGAGTTCATAAGCCAAAAAAATTTAGAAACTTTCAGTTTTAAGAGGGTTTCATTATCCCAAAAAGTTTATAAAGTTTATGAGCTCAGCTACTAAGTAAAGTTTCGCATGTAGATACAATGCCAGCTGGAACTTAAGGAGTGCTCCAAGCCCCAACGGACCTGAGAGGGCCTTTATTAGGGTTCCTTATATGAATCCTACTAATTTGGGGGTTATAAGCCCAGGGTTTCTAAATCAGCCCCTAAACCCTAAACCCTGAACCCTGAACTCTGAACCTCAAACCTTCATCTTCCGAAACTTCCTAAACCCTAAACCCCCAACCCCGAACCCTTCAACGATCCCTTTAAACCCAGGGTTATCCCTTAAAGGGACCCTTAGGGAATCCTTAAACCAAACCTAAACCCTAAAACCTGAAACCCCCATAGGCCTTAACCCTGAACCCTAAAACCTGAAACCCCCCAATAGGCCTTAACCCTCAACCCCTATCGCATCTCTGCCTCCGTGGTATCCCGCCGACGTGTTCTGGACGCGAAGCTCCCCGCTTGAGATCTCCATGTGGCCAGTGAAGAGAGCACCTGCTTGGAGTGTTTAGGGTTTAGCGTTTAGGGTTGAGGATTTAGGGTTTAGGGTTGAGGGTTTAGGGTTTAGGGTTTAGGGTTGAGGGTTTAGGGTTTAGGGTTGAGGGTTTAGGGTTTAGGGTTTAGGGTTGAGTGTTTAGGGTCGAGGGTTTGGGGATATAGGGTCGGGGGACTGGGTGTATTTTAAAGAGCTACAAGTGCCGTGAAACGGCCCAGATTGTGGTTCTGATAAGAGAAAGCACATGGTGGGTTTAGGGTCCTTATTAAGGGTCCCTCCTTTTACCCTTGGATGTTATGAATGTTAACAGGGACCTGAAATGTTTCCTAGGGGTAAACTGATGGGCCCAATCAATCCACTAAGGTTTTAATGTGCTCATACTGGAACTATATCAAGGAACCTTGGGAATACACTGACCCCATGTTTAGCCGTTATGCGGCGTATAACGGGCTACTATGCCTTATCCGTTTTTGTAGGGTTAGAAGGTGGTGTTGCAAAGGCTTTCTACGAAGGTTGGACATTGCTTCTATAGATCTGGTTCTGCAGGTTCTTCAGGGTTTAGGTGTGGATTACATGAGGCCCTCTATTGGGATGTAACTGAAACTTCGGAGGCTTTGAGTTTCAACGGGATAGGAGTTTCGCGTGGCTTTTTTAGGTGTGTTAGCCCTCTAAATTTCGCAAAATTGCCCTGGCCCTTTGGCAGTGGGGGTTTACGGAAGTCTGTCTAGTCTTTCTGCCTTAAGGCCTACATGCTAAACGCTGAACCCTAACCTCCTTGAACCACAGGCGCACCCCAAAACCCTTTGCTTTGGCCCCCAAATTGAATATTCCTTTTCGAATGAATACTGAAAGGGCTACCATACGACCTACTACCAAACATATGTTGCATACACGGTCTTGGAGTTTCCCAGGGTTTGGCTTGGCTTTGTAGGGTTTATCTTAGGGTTTATGTGGCTTTGTAGAGTTTGAAGCGTAATGTTCGGTGATGTTGAGCTTTCTTTTTACAGGTTCTATAAGGACTACGGCTGATGGTGAAAATCCTGCATTACCCATAATCAGGACTATCCCATAATTCCCACAGTTTAGCGTCTTTAAGGCAACGCAGGATTTATATCATCAACAGTACTATACGGCTTGTTACAAGGGTTTTCGGTGGAAGCCTGAATAGTTACCAATACGGGTTGATCCCTTTAAAAGGGATCTATAAGGGTGCCTTGTAAGGGGTTCCTTTAAGGGATCTATATGGGGTTTTAGGGTTTAGGGTTTATGATATACATCCTGCATCACCTTCATGGCCCTAGACTATAGAAATTATGGCATTTTCCTTGTTATGGGTAGTGCAGGATTAATATCATTAGCCGTAGTATTCCTTCAGGTTCCTGGTTCTAACTGTACCACAGTGTACCACGAAACTCTGGTCTAATTGTTTTTAGTCCATAGTTGTGGATACTATCAAAAACCTAAACTTGTATTCCTGATAGGGTTTAGGTACTCATAAACATGTAAATTGTTACTCAGGCTATGGCAAACTATTCAAGCCGCCTATATTAATATTGAAAGCCGTGGCCTCCTTCCTTTTTGGCCGAGCTGTTGCCGATGGAAAGCGTGCCACCCGAGAGCAGGAGGAGCTGCTCCGAATGCAGCGCGCCTTCTTAGCTTTAGGACTTCGGACTTTAGGGTTTGGGGACTTAGGCCTTTCGGGTATCGAGCTTTGGGGTTTAGGACTTCAGGGTTTGAAGGTACAGAGTTTTGGCGCTTTAAAGCTTTTAAAGTTTAGGCCTTTATCCTGTACAGAATTTTGGGCCTTAGAGTTTCGGGTTTTGGGCTTTAGGGGCACACGACGGCTTTGAAATTTTATGGAAACTTGCTTCACATTCCTACGCATTGGCTTCCGGTGCCTCCGTAGTTGCCGGCAGCACAGTGCTCCAGCTGAACTTCGCCCCCGGAGCAGTTGAAGTCGCGGCTGTAGATGGCCCCTTCCCAGAGACTCGAACACCGCTTGATCAAGGAAGCGAATATAGAGGCCGTATTATCTACGGGATCCTTAAGGAACCGTTAAGGGTTTAGGGTTTCTTAAGCAGAATATTGGCAGTTGTTTTGGCGTCTATGGGGTGTTTCCGAAAATAGGCGACCCTAATGTAGTACCCCAAATAGTAGGATCCTTTTTATAAGGACCCCAAATAAGGTACCCGCAAATTTTCGGAAACTCCCACATAGAAGCCGTATTAATTACCTATACTATTTTGGGTGGTACTTTTTTTAAAAGTATAGAATCAGATACCCCAAAACCCTATTCTAATTATTAAGGCCCCTGTGTTGCCGGAAAGCCTTGAAGTTTTTTGAGTTCCTCATCTTGATCTAAGATATCGTCCTCACATTACAATGTGCAAGACCCAGAGACTCCAATATCCCGGTAATTAAGGATCCTACTGTAATTTCAGGTATCTACCCTAATGAAGGGATATTGGAGTCTCTGGGGCAGGATTCGGTTGTGGGAATTCAAACAATAGCATTCGCTTCACTGAGAAGATTCAGGACTCCAGTATCCCTTAATTAAGGAATGTACCGTAAATGATAATCGGATTCCTAATATGGTTTGAAGAGTATTCGTTAATCAAGGGATATTGGAGTCTCTGAGTCTTCACGTCGGAGGAATCTTAACAGTTTGGATTCATGACATTGAACTGTCCTGTTTGAGAACTCTTGATTTCAAGGTGTTGCTCGTGCTTCTTTGATATTGAACCTTTGCAGTTTGAGGGTAGGAGATCTCTGCGTGCCCAGAGACTCCAATATTCCTAAATTAGGGAATGTTACGGTTTAGGGTTTAGGGTTTCGGGTTTAGGGTTTAGGGAGGTATATTCTTTAATTACATCTAAGGGATATTGGAGTCTCTGCGTGCCCTGCTGCCCATCAACATCAGGCTGCAAGCAGTTGCGCCCGGGGCTCCGTTCGGGTCTGGGGTTTAGTGCGTATGCCCTTTAGGGCTTGGGGTTCAGGGTTTGCTTCAAGGATCATGGGACTTGGTAACAGGGGTTAAAAGTAAGGTAACTATACTTATACTTACTTATAGCCGAACTTAGGGCACTTGTAAGCCTACTCACTAAGTCCCCTGATCCTCCAAGTAGTGTTCAGGAGGCAAGTTTAGCCTGGCATGTACTGTCGCAAGATCACGGGCACTAGCCGGGCCAAAACCCGAAGCGGTTAAGGTTTAGGATTTAGGATTTGGGGTTTACTTGGAGGGGCAGAGGACTTAGCAAGTCGCTTATAAGTAGGGTTATAATTGGGGTAACTCCATCTAGGGTACTTATAACTCTACTTATAACCTACTTACTAAGTCCCCTGCTCCTCCAAGCAGGGTTTAGGATTTAGGGTTTGTTCTTATGACACGCCCCAAACGACCGACAGCCCTGTTCTCACTCCTTCAACGGCACAGGAATGCTGGGATCTAGCTTCGAGTAGCGATTAAGGCTTAGGGTATAGACTCGGGCAAGGCGTCAAAACCCCAAGCCCGGAAATATGCAATAGACCCTTGCATCACAATGAGGGCATCTTCCTGGTCAAACCCTAAACGGCCTCAACCCGAACAGAACAAATTCTGGAGCTTGCAGCCGTTGCGTGGCTTGGTCTCTTGTCCGTGGAAACGGATGCCAAAAAACTGTTTAAGTCTCGCACAGAACCTCCCATTACAAGGAATATACCATAATTCCCACAGTCTAGGATCATTGAGGCAATGCAGGATTTATACCATCAACCGTGGGGATCAGTATATAGCAAACAGTATGGTTTCCTGATTACGGCAACTTCAATTAATTTCCTGAACCGCTAAGCCTTAAATCCTGAACCCTTAAGTCTAGGCCCATTTTATGGTAGCTAGAATGATGTTCCTTAACAGGCAGCTGCTTCAATAAGCGGACGCAAAACAACAAACCTTCCTAAAACTAACTAGACCATATATGTGAGGTCAACAAAATTGCAGTTCTCCCACTGGCGAGCGAAGAACTACGACTTAATTACAACTTCAATCCTAAACCCCTACTAAGGTAGCTTAAAACGGATAAGACGGAATTCCTTGCACAACCCTAAACCCTAAAACCCCTACTATGGTCATTTCAAACGGAGTTCCTTAACGAGAACCGCTCAGAACCACCCGAGACCACATCAGAGCCTCCGTTCTCGCGGGCGGCACACTCCTGCGCTCCAAAGAGTCGGGTTTAGAGGTGTTTCGGGCTTAAGGGTGTAAGGGTTTTGGGTTTACGTTTAGGGCTTAGGGGTTAAAGGGTTTAAGGGTTTAAGGGTTACGGGTTAAGGGTTAAGGGTTTAGGGTTTGAGGCTTTGGTGTGTTTCGGGGGCTCACACAGGAGCCTTCGTAAATACTACGCACTGCAGCTAGCAGGCGCCCAAACGCAGGGCGGGAAAGGCGGGCGGAGGGGCATACCCTAGCAAATAAGGAGCCCCTACTTGAAGGAGCAAGGGGTCTTGGTGATTGGGGTTATAAGTATGGTGACTACAATTATTATTACTTGCACCCCCACATTAATGTACTTATAACCCTACTCACTAAGTCCCATGATCCTCCAAATAAGGAAGGTATTGGTCATTGCTAATACAAGGTAATCTTAAGTTCAGCTGCCTTGTGGCACAGAATGGTAATTGCACGCCATCCGCCCCTCAAGCCCTGAAAAGGACATTGTAACAGTTGCAAGAACAGTCCTACTGCACCCATCATGATCATCATCGCTGCCCGCCATCACCCCATGTCCCTCGCATACATGTGGTGGTAATGTAGAGGTCTGGGCTATCAATGTCGAGAATACGATCAGAAAAATACAACCAGGTTGTTACAGCAAAGAATTACAAATGATAACAACAATCATCATCATCCTAATACTGGGAAGCAGAAAACACTAACAATAATAATAATAATAAGTTTAAGCATGATAATGATGATAATGCGAATAATAGCAACAGCAACTGGAAACCCTAAATCCCAACCCCTAAACCCCTACACCCCTAAACGCGTAAACCCCGAAACCCCTACACCCCGAAAACCCCCCAAAACCCCTAAGACCCCTAAGCCCCTAAACCATAAGATCCTCAACCCGGAAGTCCCGAAAACCTGAAACCCGAGCCCAAGCTCCCGCACCCTCCTTCACAAGTAGCACAAGGTTTCTTTAGGCTTCTATAAGGGCTCCTCTAAGGAAACAGGGTAGCTTCCTGCTTGCCCAGGAGCTTCCAAAAATACCACGCAAACTCAAGAGGGATGGACAGAACCATCGATGAAAAGATGGAGATTCAGTAGAACTGTTGGCTAGTACATGGCTGCGCAGGAACCATAAGTCACACCATGGCCTGAAGGAAAGCCGTATGCAAAAGGAAAAGCACTTCGCACGCGTTTAGTCACCAGGTTGCGTTCGCGGTATGTTATGTATGCTATGACGATCCCAAAGACTCCAATTTTCCTTAATTAAGGAATATACCATAAATTATAGTATGATCCAAGGAACATTCCCGAATCAAAGGAAATTGGAACCTCCGGGATAGAAAGGCTAGACCAGAAGTCCTCGAGGATCCCTTGCAACGGTTGATGATATAAATCCTGCATGACCCTACTAAACTATGGGAATAATGGTATATTCTTTTTTTGGGTAATGCAGGATTTAATCAACAGAAGGAACCCTTAAGTAACACTTACCATAGGGGCCTTCATGATTAGAATAGGGTGTGGGGTAAAATATAGAATGATAACGGAATTCCAAGGGGATAGTGTTGGTACCCTACTGGAGGTAATATAGAATGATAAGGGAATTACAAGGGATAGTGTTGGTAAGTATTCAGAGCACCCAATACCCCTTAATTAAGGAATATACCTTAACTCATAATATTAAGGCCCCTATAATATAAGGTATATTCCTTAATCAAGGGGTATTGGGTTCTCAAGGTATTCCGACCCCTCTGTTCCGCTCCCCGAGCCTGGAAGAGAAAGCGTCCCCCGCTTTGGAAGACGCCGAGAGCAGATGCGCTCTTCAGCTCTTCGAGGAAGTTAGCACTGTTGGCGCTGCTCCTCCGAGTTCGGGTACCCTTAAACCGCTACTTGGAAGGGCAGGGGACTTAGTAAGTAGGTTATAAGTAGGGTCATAATTGGGGTAGCTCCATTTAGGGTACTTATAACTCTACTTATAACCTACTTACTAAGTCCCCTGCCCATCCAAGTAGAGCCCCAAACTTCTGCACCCTCCGCAACTCCCCGAGGTCCACCCGAAAAGTAGCCTTGAACAGACCTCGAACCTCATTGTGTAACAAAAAATTTGTCCCCATCAGAAAAACCAAAACATAAATCAAAAAGAACATTAGCAAAGCCAAGAAGCATATTTTTGAAACAAAAACCAAACAACAAAACCCTGAACCCCAAACCCCTAAACCCGTAAAGACGCCTGAAAACCCCTAAACCCCTAAAGACAACTAAACCCCTAAACCCTTCAAAGCCCTAAAACCCCTAAACCCCTAAAACTGCTAGACCCCTAAGCCCCTAAGCCCCTTAACCCTAAACCCCTATAGTACCCTTATAGAGCCCTTCTAGATCCCTTTAACAGGCCTAAACCCTAAACTCTGAGGCGCCCTCTGTGTTCCAGGAGACTCCAATATCCCTTAAGTTCAGGAATGTACCTTCAAATGTTTTGTCGGATCCCGAAAGGGCCCCTTAAAAGGCCTAAACCGTTAAAGCCTCCCAATCAACCTTAGCTAAGGAATGTACCTTCAACTGTTGTAGGATCCCTAATATGATTGAAGGAATATTCCGTAATTCAGGGATATTGGAGTCTCCTGAACCCTAAACCTCTCTAGATCCCTTAAGGATCCCTTTCGAGGACCCCCCCTTATAGATCCCTCTCAAAAACCCCTAAAAACCTAAGTTCTTCAACCCCAAACCCCCATAGTACCTTTATAGAGCCCTTCTGGATCCCTTTCAAAGGGCCCCTTATAGATCCCTTTAAAAGGCCTAAACCCTAAACCCTAAACCCTATGAACCCTAAACCCTAAACCCTATGAACCCTAAACCCTAAACCCTATGAACCCTAAACCCTAAACCCTATGAACCCTAAACCCTAAACCCTAAACCCTATGAACCCTAAACCCTAAACCCTATGAACCCTAAACCCTATGAACCCTAAACCCTAAACCCTAAACCCTATGAACCCTAAACCCTAAACCCTAAACCCTATGAACCCTAAACCCTAAACCCTAAACCCTATGAACCCTAAACCCTAAACCCTAAACCCTATGAACCCTAAACCCTAAACCCTAAACCCTATGAACCCTAAACCCTAAACCCTATCCCTTAAGTTCAGGAATGTACCTTCTAATGTTGTAGGATCCCTTTGAAAGGCCTAAACCCCCCAAAACCTCCCACCTCCGGGTCCGGCCCCGGAAGCCGCCGATGTCGGGACCGCGGCTCGGAAGCACCATGTCGAGGCCTCTCCTGGAACCCGGAGACTCCTAGGATCCCTTTAAAGAGTTGAGGGTTTAGAGGGTTTAGAGGGTTTAGAGGGTTTAGAGGGTTTAGAGGGTTTAGAGTTTAGGGGTTTAGGGGCGTTGGGGTTTAGGGTTTTGGGGGGGTTAGGGATTAGGGTTTAGGGTTTTGGGGCCTACTTGGAGGATCATGGGACTTAGTAAGTAGGTTTATAGGTGCCTTACTTGGGATTATGGATAATTATAGCTGTAGTTACCTTACTTATAACCCCAATTACTAAGTCCCATGATCCTTTAAGTACGGCTGATGATGTAGATCCTGGGGTCCCTTTAAAGGGATCTATACGGGTGCCTTTAAGGGTCTCCTTTAAGGGATCTATATAGGGTTTTAGGGTTCAGGGTTTATGATATACATCCTGCATTGCCTTACTGACCCTAGACGATGGGAATTGTGGTACATTTCTTACTTTGGGTAGTGCAGGACTTATATCATTGACCGTCGGATCCATTCAAAGGGATCTAGGAGGGTTCTCTTAAAGGAATCTGTTAGGATCTATACGGGTTCCTTTCAGGGTTCCCTCTAGGGATCCTTTAAGGGTTCCGCTAAGGGATCCTTTAAGCGAGGGCTTAAAAGGATCCTTTGAGGGCTCCCTTAAGGGTTCCAGTATCCCATCCCTTTAAAGGAATCTACTACAAGGGTTCCTTTTAGGAATCTGAAGGAGACTCCAATATCCCTGAATTACGGAATATTCCTTCAATCATATTAGGGATCCTACAACATTTGAAGGTACATGCCTTAGCTAAGGTTGCTTGGCAGGCTTTAACGGTTTAGGCCTTTTAAGGGGCCCATTCGGGATCCTCCAAAACATTTGAAGGTACATTCCTGAACTTAAGGGATATTGGAGTCCCCTGGAACACAGAGGGCGACGCCTCAAGGTTTAGGGTTTAGGCCGTTTTAAAGGGATCTATGAAGGGGGGCCCTTGACAAGGGATCTATAAGGGCTCTGTAAGAGTACTATGGGGGTTTACGGGTTGGGGTTTTATGGTTTAGGGCTCAGGGTTGAGGGTTTAGGGTTTTGGGTCCAGTTGTTTTAGGGTTGAAGGTTCAGTGTTTAAGGTTGAGGGTTTAGTGCTAAACTTCCATGGGCAGTTCCAAGAAAAAGTGTCCCTTTCTAGGAACCCAGCAGAAGGAAAAGGACCCTAGAAGGTACCCTAATTTGGAGAACTATCCATATCAGGCCCAAACGAACCCTTGTGCACCCTAAAGCTTACAGGGCTTTTTCCGGACTCCTTTAAGGGAGGAATCCCTACCGGACTCCTTTAAGGGATCACCCTTTTTGAACCCTAAACTCTAAACCACTCCCGAAACGCTTTTTGGAGAGTTAAAGTGACTTTTATGAGGCCGTTAAAGGAAACCTTGATTCAAACAGTAGCTCTCTTCATGAATCAACTTTTTTGAGCCCTACACTCTAAACTCCAAACCCCTGCCTAAAGGATCCTGGAACTTGGCCATTGGGGTTAGAAGTAAGGAAACTATACTTAGAATTACTTATAACCCCAATTAAGGTACTTTAGAACCCTACTCACTAAGTCCCATGATCCTCTCAGTAAACCCTAAACCCCGCAAGGGCGCGGGTTTCCGGTAAGGCCCTGCAGCTTCCAGAGCGGCCGAGGCGCAGAGTGTCGGAGGAGCGAACGCGCGGCTCTAGGTCGCCTCGGTTCTAGCATACTAGCGTCAAACATAACGTGCTACTAGAGTACTCTCGTATTATAAATACATATATATATATGTGTGTGTGTATACATATATATATATATAGTGTGTATGTTCCTGTCGTAGAATATCGTATATCTATGCTACATGATGAGACCATATTAATATAGCACCTTACAGTATTATACTATATTAGCATATTACTTAAAGGATCATGGGACTTAGTAATTGGGGTTATGAGTAAGGTAACTACAGTTATAATTGCTTATAACCCCAATTGGGGTACTTATAGCCCTACTTACTAAGTCCCATGATCCTCCAAGTATACTACATTACAACATGTTGCGGGCAAAGACAACCTGGACCTAGAGATCAGGGCTCAGGGCTTAAAGTTTAGGGGGATGTACCCATGCCCCCGGAAGGATCCAAAAAGTGATTAAAGGGGTTCCTAAAAGGGTTCCCTTAAGGGTTTCTTTAAGGGTTCCTTTAAGGGTCCCTTTAAGGGATCTATAGGGTTTTAGGGCTTAGGGTTTAGAGTTTAGGGTAGATCCCTTAATGGGGGAAAGTACCCTTGGTAGTAGAGGGCCCCAAATTAGGGGATCTGCTTTCTAGATCCTCCCGGGGGTCTGGGTAAGGGATTCACCAACAGGTTGACAGGTTTTTGGTTTGGAGTTTGGGGCTCAGGGTTTCCTACTTGGAGGTCCAGGGGAAGTTATAAGTGGGCTTATAAGTAGGGTAACTATAGCCTAGCTATAGCCCATATTAAAAGACTTATAACCCTACTTATAACTACCCATGAACCTCCAAGTACGGTTTGGCTGGGGAAGGCTTGGGTATACTAGCTGTAGAAGGCTTAGAGGCTTACGTTGAGGGCTGAGGGCGTTGGGGCTTCTCAGAAACTCCAATATCCCTTAATTCAGGAACACTCCCCAAATCATATTAAGCATCCTACTATAATTTGAAGTAGATTCCTTTAATTCCCTGGTAGAACCCATATAGATCCCAGCAAGGAACCCTTATGTCTATTCCTTAATTAAGGGAGATTGGAGTCTCTGGAAGGGTAACAGGAGGGACCCTTAATAAGGACCCCTAGATACAAACTCTTAATATAGCTGTTATATACCCATTATATAGCCCATTATAGGGTAGCGGTCCCCATTAAGGGTCCCTCCTCTTCCCCTTTGAGGTTGGAACCTTTAGGGTTCACGGCTCTCCAGGCTTCCGCGACTAGGCGGCGGCCTTCGGCTAGAGCCAAGATTCAAAGCCTGATTCGGAACTTCGTTTGTGTAAAACCTTACAACGAATAGAATCCTGAATCTCAGAGCGGCTGCATGGTGCTAAAAAGAAATGGCACTGGTCCAGGGGTTAATTCAGCCATACTTCCAACCTACTTGCTAAGTCCCCTGCTCCTTCAAGTACTGTAGGGGCCTGTTTTTGATTAGAATATGGTTTTGGGTTGCATCATACCAGCATTATAATAAGGAACCCCCCAAAAAAAGTCTTGGCCCTTTTAGTAAGTAAACCGCTCAAAAAGCTAATCTTGAAGCCCTAAACCCCGAACCAAAAGAAAGGACACGTAAGCTGTAAAACATCTAATTTTATTTCGGCTATCTGGTATCTAACATCTCCCAACCTATATCCGAAATCCAGTATTCTAGGTACCTACACACATATATATATATATATATATATATATATATACATATACATGTATGTATGGTAAATTTTGTGTATACATATATATATATATATGTATATATATATATATATATTGTATATCACTTCTGCCTGGGAACGGCGGCTACGATTGGTGCCAGGAAGGTCGCTGCTCGAGCCGTGAAAGTAGAGGGCACCTTGGCTTCGGCAGGGTTTAGGGTTGAGAGTTGAGGGGCTTGGCTTCAGTCTCATCTGTCCAGAATCCGAGGGGAACGAAAGGCTGCCCTTTGGGGTTGTATAGGATTATAAAGGGAACATCGTACGCCCAAAAGGCTAAAGGCTACCTACTCTACCACTAGGCAGGAGGTTTTTCGGAAATAGGATTTGGGATTTGAGGCTTTGGGGCTGGGGTTTTAAGGTTGGCTTGAGTAGGTTTTCCGGAAATAGGGTTTGTGGTTCAGGGCTTTGGATCTGGGGTTTGGTTTTTTGTTGAGGGGCTTTCAGGTTTGAGGGTCTAGGGTTGGGTTTGTTGAGGGTCCAGGGTTGAGGGTTTTTAGGGTGGAAGGCTTAGGTTTTTGGGTTGAGGGTTTAGGGTTTAGGGTTGAAGTTTGTTAGGGTGGAATGCGTGTAGGGCTTCAAGTTTACTCTGGCTTCCAAGGGCTCGGTGATCCTTCGGGCTTTTGCGTGCTCTCTTTGTACTTGCAAATGAGCAGACAAGCATAACACCTATATAGGTTCGGACAAAATGAAGAATACATAAGTAACTATAACGCTTCGGTGAGGCGTTTTGGGGGGAAACTCGGGTGTTGAGGTTTGAGGTCGTCGGCTTAGGGGATTTGGTGGCGATTCTAGAGACTGATCAGGGTTGACAAGGCTTTACCGTGGTCTGGGGATTGAAAAAATACCAAAAACCCTAAAGCCTAAACCCTAAACCCTGAGATTGGAACAGTTGTCTTGCGGCTCTAAGGTTGGGGGATTCAGTACCTTCCCCTTTGCGGTGGCATATGTTTTACTATACTATAGTATGTTGCGGCATATCTTTATTTATTACAGTACATTTCATGACATCACAGTTTATACTAGAACAAACCGTACTATGTTATGGTATATCTTTATATTCACATTACATTACATCACATGATATTACACTGACTTTTTCAATATGCTAGACAACACCGAGAGACCTCCGTGCTTCGCAGCGGTGCACCGCAGGCATCCGAACTGGCCGTCAGAGATGTTGTAAACACCCCGGTCGATGGAGACACCGCCTGCCACCATCATGGGACTTCTTTGGGGGGGGTCCCTTTAAGAGCTGCTTTGGGTAGGGATTAGGGTTCTTTTTTTTTGAGGGTTTAGGGTTTAGGACTTTAAGCTGCTTTTGGGCTTCTTACACCCCGTTGGATTGAGACAACGCCTGCGTTTAGGGTTTAGGGTAGGGTTTAGGGATTTAAGGGTTCAGGGTATAGGCGTGGTCCCAACTAGCTGCTGTTTTAAACGATGAGCGCATGGAATCAGGGGAGTCGTAACCTATTAGTGTAAGGGCCTTAATAAATGGAGGTGGGTTTTAGGATATATTGTAGTATATAGCTATGATCAGTGGCCTGGAAGGAATAAAATTGTCATTCTCCAGGCCTCTGAAATGATATGGGCGGTTGTCAAAATTAGGGTCCCTTTTTGGGGTACTCTAAATATTAGGTGCCGTATTATAATAAGGACCCAAAAAGGGACCCTACTTTTGACAACCACCCATATCGTGGTAGGGTGCTGAGGTTTCCGCTCAGGGAGGAGTTTTATCGATGTTAAACCCTAAACCCAACCCGAAACCCTAAACCCTCTAGTTCTAATCCCTGAACCCCTACCTGCAATGGTTCCTCAGCTGCCCCTTTATAATAGGGGTACCCCTCTTCCTAATATCCGATTTTAACAAGGGGACCCTAAATCAAAACGGGCAAAAGGGTACTAGTCAGGAACCACGAGGTTGAGGGGAGCCGAAGTAAACCCCCTCACACTCCGGGGTGTTTAGTCGTGACCCAACGGGAGGATCCAAAAAGTAGATCCCTTAATGGGGGTTCCTGTACGGTACCCTTTAGTGGCTTGAATGCCGACGTAGACGATCTACTTTTCAGATACTCCAGGCAATCTACTTTGAGGGTCGGGCGACTTAGTAAGTAGGTACTAAGTAGAGTCATAACTTATAACTCTACTTAGTACCTACTTACTAAGTCCCCGACCCTCCAAGTAGACCCCGGTGAGTATCCATCAAAAAGTTATAAGTACCCTTAAAGCGGTCTTAATTGGGTTGATGATACTTATCAGTCTAAGTGTATACTAAATATAACCAACTTACTAAGTCCCCGACCTTAGTTTGGATGTACTTGGAGGATCATGGGACTTAGTAAGTAGGGTTATAAGAACCTGAATTGGGGATAAAAGTACTTAGAACTGTAGTTACCTTGAATATAACCCCAGCTACTAAGTCCCATGATCCTTTAAGTGGCGACCCGACGGCTCCCGGCTGCAAAGCCGCAAAAGCCCTGAACCCTCACAGCGAAAATCCCTGAGCACTTTATAGTAGAAGCCAGACAGTTGAAACATGCCTTAGAAGGATTAGTATTATCATCCTTTTCACTCCACCTTAAGGGCATGAGGATAATGATGTTCCAACTTTCTGGCTTCTACTATAAAAGTCTGAAGCACAAGGCCCAATTCCTAAACCACAATCCCTATTCTAATTATTAAGGCCCCTATATTATAGTACCCTTATAGATCCCTGATTATTATTAAGGCTGCTAACCTCCCAACGCCCAAAACGCCTAAACAAGCTTGGAGGTCTGAGCCCCTTGTACAGCCCCCGCAAAGTAGCCCTTTACCCGCCAAGAAGTCCCAAGATCCTTTCAACAACCCCAAAGCCAGAAACCCAAAGAGCCCTTGAAACAGAGCCCCTATAGAACCCTTCTAGAATTCCCTACCGTTCCTACGTCCCATGATGTTCAATTCAAAGCCCCAAACCGTAATCCCCAAACTTTGGGTTTTCGAGTTTAATGATCTTAGGTTTTCCCAAACCCATCTAAATCCTAAACCCTTACTTAGTACCCCAAAACCCTAAACCCTAAACCCTTCAAGTTACTTAGTACCATGTTCCCCTGGAGGCCCCCAAGCCACAACCCTGGGTCTCTGATTTGGTCTCTGCAAAAACGCACGCCAGATTTCAACAGTTTCCGTGGTTTTTAGGTTTGAATCCTTTACTAGGAGTTATACTTAAAGGATCATGGGACTTAGTAACTGGAGTTATAAGTAAGGAAACTATAGTTATAATTACCTATAGCCCAAGTTAAGGTACTCATAACTCTACTTACTATGTCCCATGATCCTTCAAGTAGACCCTAAACCCTAAACCCTTATAGTACCCCTATAGATCCCTTCAAAGGGACCCCTATAGCCCTACTTACTAAGTCCCATGATCCTGTGTTTCAGGAGGGTTTTACGAATGGAGGGCTCGACTCAGCTACTGACTCGAATTCCTAATGTAGGAGCCTTTCTAATTAGCAATACTGTTTTGGGGGTTTCTTTTGTAATTATGGTATAATGGGTCCCAAAGCCCTATTCTAATTATTAAGGCTCCTATGTTAAAAGGGTTCTTTTAAACCCGAAACTGGCCCTAAACCTTGGGTACCGCCGCCCAGACAGTAAGAGTCTCCAACAGGGCTTCTGTGAAGGTCCTAAAATTTATATATTACTGATGAATATTATTCAACACTTACTGAGTGGGGGGCAGTACCCAGGTTTCGGTCTTAGAGTTTAGGGTTCAGGGTTCGGGGTTTAGGAACTAGGGTTTGGGGTGGGGGCTTTGATGATTGAGGCAAGGTTTTGGTCCACATTATGGAATATTGAAAGACTGCAACGGGATCCCATTACTACTCATTCCGAAACCGCTACATTAAACCCTAAATCCGAAAACCTTGTTTCGTTGCACGCCTTTTCCGCATGCAGTTCAGATGATTGAAACTCCCCTTCGGGATAGAGCTGACCTTGCTATCGATCCGGAGCACGAATGCTGGGTGCTCCGGGTCTGCGATGTTGAAGTTTGACGGTTCGCGTTTTGTGATCCGGAAAATAGTTATTATGGTATGATATACCCCCAAAGCCCCAGTCTAAGTACTATTCTAAGTATTAAGGCCCCTATAGTGCAGTAGAAGTAGCCGTGGGGCGTTTGTATCAACAACGTGAACCGGTCAAGCGAACAATTGCACAAGTCTTGCTACTGCCGGGGCATTCTTCTGGCCGCAGGCCGGAAAGTGCTGCGGAGGCCTGCCTGCCTGGGTCTGTACTTAGAGGATCATGGGACTTAGTAACTGGGGTTGTAACGAAGGCAACTATACCTATAATCCCATTTAGGGTACCTATAACCATACTACCTACTTGTCGGGTATCATGGGGAACTAAAGGTTAACTTTTTGGGTATATAGGGGTTGTATAGGGTCTATACTACCCAAAAAAGGTTAAAGGTTGCCTAGTCTACAAGGACTACGTCCCATGAACCTCCAAGTAAGAGTCTCTAAGGCGGAAGCCTCCCCTCATCTCGGCGACTGCTCCATCTCCGGATTGTACTGGATGTGACCGAGCTTCAGTTGGACTTCGTGCCGGGAGTAGGAGAGGACGTTCCTTGGGGCAGTGTTTCGGGTTCAGAGTTTAGGGCTTAGGGTTTGAATTTGTGTATAGCGCTTCTTCAAAGTCTATACCCCCTTAGAGCCATTAAAAAAGAACATGGTTCATGTTCTCTTGGTCTATTATGAACAAAAAACTAACTGCTAAGGACACTATTGCCCGGTGCCATAAGCCTTCCTTTAAAAGGTTCCCTTTCATGATTTCCTTCCGTGAAAAGGTAGGTTGTTTGGGGTTCAGGTAGGGTGTTGAAAATGTGAATTAGGGACCCCATAAACAACATAACCATAAGCATTTTGTAGGGATATCCTTACCTTATTGGGCTTCATTGTAAAGGAGTTTATATGGGATATCCCAATCCTCATTTTTTTGCTTACGTGCTCTTTGGGGGGGGCCCTATGTATAGCGTTTCTTTACGGGGTTTCTGTCGGTGGTAGGGCTTGCCTTGCCGTCCCAACGACTCGAAAACCGATTGATTAAGGCAGAAACCTCAAACCATAAGGGGATCCTTTAAAGGGTTCTTTTAAGGGTTTAGGGTTTAGAGGGTTTAGGGCCCCTTCAAGGGATCTCAAGGGGTTCCTTTCAGGCCTCCTTTAAGGGATCTATAGGGTTTAGGCGCTTGTGCCGCGGCAACCGGGAAACTGAGCCTCTCTGCCCTCTGAGGTTTACAACCCGAAAATCTTAGGAAAGCTCGTTTGGTCGCAGGTGTTACTTCCTGTATCTCTGGTTTTGGAAACTACGACGGTCGCAACCCTACAGAACCGCCAAAGGAATGCCCCACATGATGACAGTTTCAAGATGTTGTAAAGCCTTGACAGAGCTACACAAAACCTTCTTGCTCTTGCATTCGACGCAGCCCGCATTCATGGACGCTACAGGCTAGGCTTGACCACAAGTAAAAGCTGATATATAGGGGCTTTTACTATTAGAATAGGGTTTTGGGGCCCAAAATCAGGAACCCCCAAAATGGTATAGGTAATTATTGAGGCCCCTATACGAAACCCTTATAGCACCCTTACAGGATCTCTTAAGGGACCCCTTTTGGAAAAAACAAACCCTAAACCCCAAACCCCAAAAATAGTATAGGTGACTATTTAGGCCCCTGGAGTATTAGCCAAAACTCTGAACCCTCGACTTCCTGAGACCTACTGCTGGTGATATAAATCCTGGGGCCCCTTTAAAGGGATCTATAAGGGTGCCTTTAAGGGGCTCCTTTAAGGGATCTATATAGGGTTTTAGGGTTTAGGGTTTATGATATACATCCTGCATTACCTTAAGGACCCTAAACTATGGGAAGTATGGTATATTCCTTATTATGAGTAATGCAGGATTTATACCATCAACCGTATGTTCCACACTTGGGATCTTAGTCTTTTTTTTATGGGATTCCTCTAAGGGTTCAGGGTTTAAGGTTTAGGGTTTAGGGCTTAGGGCTTAGGGTTTAGGGATTCCACTAAGGGTCGTTAGAGTTTCCTTCGAGGGGTCTTTTACGAGCTCCTTGAGATCTTGCAATGAAAATGTCGGAGCTTAGCGTTCAATTTGCCAGCCGAGCTTCATGGTCGCCAGGACGACCCACTCCCCACCCAGCTCATGCCTGATTGGAAGC